AATTACATGCAACTAACCCTAAACCAAATCCTACCCTAACTCTATAGTAAGTTCACGTGGTTAATTAATATTACTCGTAATTACTCAATTAAATGCATTAAAAAAAAACAGGGACACATTAAAAAAAAGTGTTACCCAATAATTATTATTTCCAAACAAGTTTCCCCAAAGACGTTCCTCCCGCCAAACCGACACTGACTTACAGACACAAACTACCATTTACAAAGCCTAACCTGTCTGTACTTTTTCAGAGTGTGTCCTGAGAAATCCCAGGCAAAGCAATGGCTTTAAATGTTATTTGTTTCCCCCAAAATAATCATTAAATGTTACCTCTGAACTTTGGGATATTTCATCTCAGACATGACGTTTGTGGCTTCAGTTTGTTTCTGCTTAAGATGCAGTGGCCACATATTGTCCACCCAGTCCACCAGATCCACCTGAAGAAAAACAGAAATAAAATTATCCCTTTGATGAAACTGAAGTGATCCCAACCCTATACCAGAACAGAAACCTCCCAACACTCCTTGCTGATATAAAGACTCATCTGTAACTTTTAAAAGAGAGATAACATAAAAAAAAAAATGATGTACTACTTGATTTAATGTAAATAGTATTTTCGTCCCTATTGTGACATATATCTGAAACGGCTTCTCGAACAAGAAATAATGCAGGGCAGGACTTGATTTCGTCCATCAGAAAATTGATTGGATCATTGGATGGTTGTGGTTTGCTATTGGTGGATCTCATGTGAGTGACAGGTTGCCCCGCCCTCACGGCAGTTACCACATCATCAGAGAAGAGGTATGGTTGCAAGAGGGAAAAGTTGTTATTTTGATTAAAGATTCCGAGGACACATGAATTAATGTGACACAATGTGTACAGACAATTTAAAATAAACTGCAATATTCTGCAAATGTTGAAAAGTGACTTATCAATGCGAAAGACAACACAGTTCAGTTTGTAACTAACTGGCTCCTTACCACCGTAGGTCTCTTGATTAAGTTCTCCAGTTTGGTGTGACTGAACTCTAGGCTGATGACGTTGAACAGCTTGTCGCGCTCATCCTCGGGCGTCTCATAGTAGCGGACGAATTGCGCCATGCTCATCTCGGAGCCTTTCTGCGTACTAACGTCCATCACATCAACATTCCGTCTGCTGCCTGAAGGTCCATGCAGAATTATTGAAAAAAACAAAAGTTATTTCTAATCAATCTTTTAAGTTAAATAAGTTATTTGTTGTTAAAGTGCGATGAATTATACTGGTAGCAGAATAATTAACCTCATATCAAATCATTATTAAAGGAAAGTTTAGTTATTTATTTTATCGACCCAGGTGCATCGAATCAGATGCCATGGACTATATTGAGTTGCAGTTGCATAACATCACCACCAGAGGACGTAAGAGAAAAAGAATCAAAAGGTTGTTATGAGGACATCAAAGTCCTGTTCATGCATTAGACACTGACAATATAAAATTGAAGAAGTCCCAGACACTGTTAATATAATGGAAGCAGGTTTTGAAGTCTATTATGCTCACCATTCATGCTGTGAAATATCCTTATAGTTTAAAAATAACTGTTTTCTATTACGAAATTCCGCTAAATGGATTTTTCACACAAAAATTTAAATTCTGTCATTATTATTCACCCTCATTCCAAACCCGTAAGACTTTTGTTCATATTCAGAACATAAATGAAGATATTTTTGATAAAATCCTCCATTGGCAGCTACACAAATGACACTTTGACATTTCTCACATGTCGAGCGAACATGCTTGAGCTTCCGTTTACCACAACTGATGTGTGAGCTTTCGATGTTTATATGTGAATAAAAGCCTAATTTCAGTGTTCATCATATAAAGCGATCAAGTCTCTTCAGAAAATTTGGACTAAACCGCTCGATTCATATGAATTAGTTTTATGATCTCTTTATGAACTTTTTGAAGAGTCAAGTGTCAGATGCGTAGCTGTCAATGGGGGGACAGAGATCTCAGATTTTATCAAAAAGATCTTTATTTGTGTTCTGAAGACAAACAAAAAAAAATGTCTCATTTCTCAAATTTTCTCAAAATTTTTATTTTAGGGGGAACTATCCCTTTAATAAAGCGTATCAATCATATAAACTGAGTACAGTTACCATTAAATCCAACGACTGCAACTGTTTAGATGAGAATGTGAAGAAAATAAAAGACAAATGTAATGTAATAGTGTACTTACCAACCAAACCCTTGATTTCACTTACAGTAAATTCTGGATCCGGCATTCTGTAGTAGATTGAACAATCCAGATAAGCGATTTGAAATGTAAAAGGTATGGATCCATGTGAAATCAATCACTTTGTCTTACCTAATTCCCAGTCCATTTTTGGCTTTAAATATGAGTGGGGTTCGGAGAGCCTCTCTTTGAACATATTCATAGGTAAAATCTAGGATGGTATAAAAGGAATGGTTGCTAAAAGTTGAGAATGTTTCAATAAAACAGTGACAGCAATAATATGGAGTGCACAAAAATATTACTTGTAAATAAAGGAATTATACAGGCTACACAAGCTATCAAGACTCTGGACATGTCTACTCCTTCTTTATTATGGCTAATTACCACATTTTAACACAATACTAAAGTCGTCAAAACTATGAAACAACTCAAAATGGCAGATTGGGAATTACATAGTTGCCAAATAATGTTAAACAATGTATGTATATTTATGTATATTTATGTATATTTATATTTAAGGTATTTTTAATAAGAAATGTCTACTCTGTCACCATTAACTATTTAAAGTAATAATGAAAAAATAAAAAATAAATGTTGTAATTAATATTAATATAATTATTGCTTTAATGTGGATTGTAAATCATTAACTATTTAAAGTCCTAATTCATTATTATTATTATTATTATATTAATGATTATATTATTTTTAAAATATATATTTTTTTACTTGTGTAATTTTAACTGAACTGAAATACAAGTAGCCTATAATTTAAAAAAAATAAGATATTGTAATCTTAAATATTGTTCTAAATCTTCTGTTGGCACCTGCAACAGACGAATAAAAACCCCAATATTTAAGATTACAATAAATATCATGTGCAATAAACAGCTAAATGCTCCAAAAAAAAAAGTACCTTTTCCGTCCATATGCTGAACAAGTTCATTGTTGTATAAATTGCTCTCAAGTTTGTCCTCCAAGCTGAAGCCCCTGATGTTTGTGATTTCCTCCACATCTGACAAATCCTCGTTCTCATCGTACATCCTTCTGCAGATTGAGCGCTGGACGAAATGAACATATGATGAAGAGGAAGATGAAGATAACAACCTGTCTCATTCTGTGATCGGATAAGAGATATCACGCTGCTCTGGGATGTTATATCATTCTCACGCATGTCAAATTCCACATCCAGGCCTTAATCTTAATCTTCGACCATATCTTACGTTACAGCTATTATATAATGAATACATGTCAAAGCAGCGCGAACGAGTTAAACTTCCCGATGAACATTAGACACGAGGTTTGCAGGGCAACAATGTGTCCCGTTTCGCACGAGCGTCTCTAAATGGAGCATCTTGCTCTCTTTGTAATTTTACGAAACATGTGTCCTTTCCTGTTTACCATTACAACGTTATTGCGTTTAGCCTATTAATGTGGCGTATGTCGCACTAGAGTGTCGAATTGGAGGGATTCGCCCCGACTCAGGCCACTAAACACAATGCATATCGATGTGAGACTGAAATTCCCCATTTAAAACGAGTCTTCGAGAGGACAGCTTCAACTACACACCAGTTTGCGTCCGGATTCCGCACACGCCTCCATGTTCGAGCCTTTCGTCCGTCTTAATTCCCTCAGCGATTTATCTGGACCATATTTAACGCGCAAAGTTGTGCGCACTTTGATTGCTTGTATAGAAAACTAAAGTAGGAACCATTTTTGTGTAGTGCACCGTGACGTCACGGTCAACAGAATCAAAACATTGCAGAAACGTCACGCGGATGGTGTTTATGAGGGGCAAAACAATATCCGTTTTTTTCTAAGTAGTTATCAGAATGGCATTTTTATTTTTTCAAATCATGTAGAAATTGTTTGTTTTTTGTTTGTTTTTTGGAGGGAGTCAGAATTCATCTTTCTTTCTTCTGTTTGGCACGCGCGCTCCTGCACGGTGCACGCGCTGCAGCTGCAAGCTCGTGCATATGCTTCATCAACAAGACTACACTCCACTAGTGCAATAATTACATAACATATTTGAACCTTTTGAATCTATTTTTAAATCAGAAATATTTTGACAGTCATATTATTCTTTATACATAATTTCTGTTATATTTAACAGAGTTTAACAGAGTATAGCTTGGGGTCAACTTTTATAATGTATTTTGCTATAGATGTACCCCCCGCCCCCCCCGCCCCCAATTGTGTTTATATAATAACATAATTAACTAAAACATTAATGATGACTGATGACAGAGTTGACATAATTTGGGGACAACAAAGTTTTATATATAAAGCATAATGGTGACGAAAATAAAATAAATACTTAAAAAAATATTTGTATAGTTTTTTTGATCAAAATGTGCGAGTTTGTCAATATAGCAAGGAGGAACAGGCCAAATGCATCCTCCTGACAAATAAACAAAACATAAAATCAAAGTTTCTGCTGATGTGTTGAGAAAATGTAGTTATACGTTATTATAGCAATTAGTTATTCATTTTACGAATAAAGGGACACAAATTACATTATTTGTAGATTTTTTTTTTACAATAATAACTAGAACAACAACAAAAATTAATAATAATACATATTATTATTATTTTGTTCAAATCTTAAATTCGAGATTTTCACCCACAAAATCAGGTCTGACATGAGACATGAGAAATAGAAATTCTGCTAGAATGTAATTTTTATTTTTATTTTGTGGCTATTAATTATGTCTATCGGTCAGTTTAATGGGTTCTTCTAACATGGGTTCTAATAAAGTATCCGCGTTGTCGCGGAGGCTTGTGGGTAATGTCTTCACGATGCATCCAGTTTCACTTGAGCAAGCCAGCTGACGGTCGCACGCGCAATGCTCCGGTTCCGCTGAATCTCTCTGATAGTCTCTGATGATCTCCCCTCAGATGAACATGAGTCGGAGCGAGCATTCATTGCAGGCTCTGTCCTGGAGAAAGCTTTATCTGAGCAGAGCCAAACTCAAAGCGTCCAGTCGCACGTCTGCTCTTTTATCCGGTTTCGCAATGGTGAGTTGCTTTTCGTGCCTGCTGTTTATTTAGTGCTGATAGTGTTCAGTTTAAACACCGGGTTGTTAAAGAGAAAAGCGCGTGTTTAGTAATATTGTGTAAGTTAAAGCGGAAGATTTTAGTTTCAATGGCGCAGGACTCGAGTCTTTGGTGCATCTGCAATCTCAAACTGTCAGCCACAGTTGTTTAGCTTGTGCTAATGCTCAGCTAGATTCTGTAAGTTGCGTTTATGCACGGCTGCAGTTGTCACTTATGAAGTTGCTTATAAAGAGCATCACGAGCATCCATAATACCGGATAATACCCGGATGCAGAAAAAAAATCTTAAAAACTTCTGAGGGTTTCCACTGCAGTGAATATTAATTCAGTTTCAAAGCGATTTTTGAGAAATCTTATAAAATTAATACTTGCACACGTCCAACTTGAAATGAGCATGAGATCATCATTAGAATCTTATCACCTAAATGCACTTTAGCACTTTTAGTTTTTTTTAATAAATTATAACAGCATATCTATTAGAAGTTTACATGTATCTCTCATTTCCCAGATAGATAGATAAGCTGAAAAAACTACTACTATGTCCTGAGAAGGAAGAGTTCAATTTTAATAACATTTCTTAAAATATTGTGTGTATGTAATATATGTGTGTGTGTGTGTGTGTGTATAGCTATTTAAATGTATAAAATAAATGAAGTAATATAAATTAAGTATATATAATTATGTTCCTTAAATATGTAATTAAAAAATATATATAATTCTCACTATACATGCATACATAAAGGTATTAATATTATTTATATTACATACATTTTGATTATTTTGTCAGTACATTAAAAATTGTTGTCTAACTCTAATGGTGTTGTTGAAAATTACATTTATGCATTAGAAAATCAGTTTAAACCCTTCATTAATTCATCATTGTGAATGCTAGATTTCTTAACAGATTTGTGGGTAACACTTTACAAGAAGGTTTAACATTAGTTAACATGAACTTATAATGAACTCTACTATTTTAGTTCATGTTAATTTCAACATTACTAATGCAATATTAAAATCAAAAGTTGTATCTGTTAACATTAGTTAATGCACTGTGAACTGTAACAATTGCTAATTGTTAGTTCATTTTAGGTAACCTAAAAACCCGTTTTACCTGTTTTCCGTTCGTTCAACAGGTGGCCATGGTGGAAGTACAACTTGACAGCAATCACGACTATCCACCAGGACTGCTCATCGCTTTCAGCGCTTGCACCACTGTGTTGGTGGCCGTCCACCTGTTCGCCCTCATGGTGAGCACCTGTATCCTCCCGAACATCGAAGCGGTCAGCAACGTGCACAACCTCAACTCGGTGAAGGAGTCTCCTCATGAGAGAATGCATCGCCACATCGAGCTGGCCTGGGCTTTTTCCACAGTCATTGGGACGTTGCTCTTCCTGGCCGAGGTGGTCCTGCTGTGCTGGGTCAAGTTTTTGCCCATTAAGCCGAAAGACCAGAAAAATGGTACTATATCCGCCGGGGTGGCCGCTGCGATCACGTCTACCTCCATCATGGTGCCTTTCGGCTTTATTTTTATCGTCTTCGCTGTGCATTTCTACCGCTCGCTGGTCAGCCACAAGACCGACAGGCAGTTTCAAGAGTTAGAAGAGTTGGAGGACTTACAGAACGAACTGGACCATAGAGGGGAGGCGTCGACCTTACAGTCTCCCAGTTCCCTTTACCCCTAGTTTTGAGTTTGGGAAAGAGCTTCTGTTAATATTTTAGGTTTGTCAAGTGTTGCAACACATCGTGTTTTTGACCATGGTATTGATCTTTGTTGCATGTGGACACCGAAGCGTCCAGTTTTGTACACTGTTTCTGCTAGATTTAATGAGATCAGACTCAGACTCTACAACTGTGAAAGCATGCACTGCATGTTTTATGGATATTTTGTTTTAAAGTGCACCTATTATGCTATTTTAAAGATTCCTGATTTTGTTTAGGATGTCTCCTACAAAAGGTTTACATGCCAAGGTATTAAATACATATATATACATTGCAGTATCCCCTCTTTTCTCATCTGAAATGGTTCTTGTGAAGGATTTGGTCTCTTTAAACCCCTCCTTTCCGAGCTCCTGCTCTGTTTTGATTGGTCAGATGGCCCAGTCTATTGTGATTGGTTTACTCTGTTCTGATTGGTGAGATGGCCCAGTCTTTTGTGATTGGTTTACTCTGTTCTGATTGGTCAGATGGCCCAGTCTATTGTGATTGGTTTACTCTGTTCTGATTGGTCAGATGGCCCAGTCTATTGTGATTGATTTTACTCTCCTCTGATTGGTCAGATGGCCCAGTCTGTTGTGATTGGTTTACTCTGTTCTGATTGGTCAGGGCCCTGTACCATGATGGTAGTTGAACAAACTCAAGGTTGCAGGATTAGTTTCGAGTTGACAAAACCAAACCAATCCAACCAGGCTTTGTTGGTACCATGATGCTGATCATCAACTTTCTTTGTCAACTCAGGCTTTGATCTTGAGTTTAGGTGTGACATCAGTAGCGAACAGCCAATCACACGCTGAGAAAGAGTGAAACTCATTCAAAACTCATTGAAATTAATTTCTTGTGAGAGAAGTAGCACAATTCACTTATATATATAGAGAAAATTGAACATTTAAGCTCAAGTGTCATTTTATAGCTTCATTTATTGATTCTAAAGCGTATTTATATTACCTTTATATACGTATTCATTTAAAATATGAGTAATCACAATTGATGAACTGAAATTGTACATGTGAGATTGTTTAAGGGTATATTAATTACAGAAATAATTTCTAAGTCATACAAATTTATTTACTAAAAGCCATGATTTTGTCTTTTAAAATCATTTGCTGTGTAGTGACCTTTAATTTGGAGTGGAAACAGGTGGAGTGACTTTATCGCGTCAGACATGTGTCACTTTGCTCACAGCTGATTGGTCCAATTTCGGTTTGCAACCTCTTACCTGAAACATAGCCTGTCCCGGACCAGGTTAGCTGTGGAGCGTAAGCTACTATGGCGATGAACACTGCTAAAAGCCAAACCATTTTCATGGTACATAAAACCCAGGGTTGGCGCAAACTAAACTGAAGCTGGCTAGCCACCTAAACCGGCTTCATGGTATAGGCCCCAGATGACCCAGTCTGTTGTGATTGGTCTACTCTGCTCTGATTGGTCAGCTACAACTATGGTGTTTGAAGGGCAAATCAAAGTAGATGTTGTTCGATGAAGAATTGGCTGGTATTATGAAATTGTGTTACAAAACTACATAGATTTGTGCAGAAAATTAGACCGCAATTATTTGCGACTTATTTCAGGGAGTTCAAAACCGGTTCTCACTTGTAGGAGACAACAACTCCATTTATCGTGCATTTTGATCTTTGAAACTTTTCTGACCTTTTACATTCACAAACAGCTGTATTACACTCTACATGAATAGTTATATTCGAAAAAGCATAATAGGGGCACTTTAATTTTTTCCTCTTCTTAATACACCACAGGGAAAATCCTTTATTTCAGAATGGCAGCTGTGCCAATTTGTTAATTACAAGATTTCTATTTTCACACAAGGCAAGCTACATTCTTACAGGGACAATTTCATGTTAACTTGACCAAATAATTGTTGATGCTTTCTGAATCAGGGCTTTGCTGTTGAACAGCTGAATCAAAACCCCAAAAAACATAGTCTTATTCATGCTTCATTGTTTTCTTAAATAAAGCCCCCTGCATGAGCACATCTTTAGTTCAAAGAAAGGCACTTTTTCAACATGTTTGTCTGACCTTTTTTGGTAGTATTTGAAACCGCTTCCCATTAAAGGGGCCTCTGTTCATTCTGAGGTTTGTAAGCCAGTACTTAGAGTCGTCATGGCTGAGGAACTTGCAGGATTGTACGATTATGCTTGCAAACTTAATTTAGACTAAGTGTTCATTAAGCAGAGGACCATTTAAGCATGTATTTGCATCAGCAGCATTGACTAAAATGTTCAAAGAGGCACATATATAGACATTTAATCACATGTACAGTATTGCCAAATTGAAGTACAATGATTTCTTTTTCTAAAGTGTGTAAAATAAAATTCATTTTGTTGAAACGGCTTGTGTAAAGTTTGGTTCTGAAGCACTTTTTATTAGTGCACACTGGAATTTGAAAATCCACATTTTTTTTAGACATTCCGATTAAATACTTCAACCAAACACCTTTTTTGTGCTTTTTACATCATGTATGACAAGGATGTGTTGCCAAAATGAACATCAAGAGCATTTTGTTTAATGCTATTAGTACAATGTACCAACAGCGTTTATTTTATTCTGTTGGGTTTTTATTATGACTGAGGAGTTGATAAAAAAAAAAATACTTCTCTGCTTTCCTTATCCAAAGTCTGCCTTTCTTGAGTTAGATATTGTCAAGGTACATATTGCCTAGCAACCATATGACTTGGATTCTGTTGATTTCTCCTTGTCCTCAGTGAAATATGCTTGTGCCTCCATCAGTACAGCCTGTGAATCCTGTAGGCAAACCTTTGGACATAAAATAATCAGAATCAGTACTAGGTATCAAACTATGTAAATCATTTTGAGCTGTTTGCTGTTACAATGGTCAGAACCTATGACCGAAAGCTTGTATGCTCTTCATGCATTACTGTTAAAATGGAAATTATGCAAATTAGCAAACATCAGCGTTAATCATTCACCTTGGGAATTGGATACACTGTTGGCCTAACTGCTGCTTCTCTCCCAAAATCAGACATGGTTCCACACTTCGCAACACCGTCAACCCAAAAGCCTTCGTACAACTGACCTCTGTCCAGGTAGAAGAACTTGCCTTGTCCATTTTTCTGTCCATCGCTCCATGTGCCAACAAAGCGGTTACCATTAGCTTTACAAAACAAAAAGTAAAAAATGTCTGGTTTGATATTCACAGTTAAAACTTATTTAGTTAAATTTTGCAAGAAGAAAATTGTCTTATTTTTAGGTCCATTAAGATCATTTGCATAACATTATTATTTTAATTAAAAAGTTTTTAATTCTCATTACTATTATGCAAAAATGAAAATGCATTATATTTATTTATTAGTGCTCTCAAAGTTTGTAATATGTATATACGCGCACACACACATGCATATTCAGTATATATATATACACACACACACACACAAACTTTTATCTTAGATGCAATTAATCACGATTACTCGATTTGACAGCACTTATATGTGTATATATATTCACTGTATATATATATATATAACATTTATTATCATTTATATATAATACACTTATTTAAATCAAATACAATGTAATGTTAAATAAAATAACATTTCCATTTATTATTTATGATATACAGATAATGCATATACAGATTATAGATAGTTTATGTATATATATATATATATACATACCCATGAACAGCACTAATATATGTGTATATGTATAACATTTTATGATATGATATAAAAGATCAGTTTTATTAAAAAATCAATTTAAAAAAAATCAACGCAACAAACATTACTATATATATAGTAATGTTTGTTGTATTTATTTTATGCTGATTTAAATTTTTTGACTCTAATTATTCTATGCAATGAATGTGCACTTAATTGTCATAAAAATAATGTTACAGTGCTATAATATTAAAGGTCCTAATAACAGGCTTCATTTTCTTTCTGCAAAATGTTTTTGACTTTCATTTATTTATTTATTTTAATTTTGGATCAAATGTGAGTGAGCTGGGCATGTTTTTGTGAGATCCACCAAGCTGGCTCATTTGAGTTTAAATCGGTACCTAGTAGAAGCAAACCCTGTCCATGACGTTTGTCCTTCAGCCACTCTCCCTCATACAGCTCCCCGTTCTCATACTGCATCCGTCCCCATCCACTTCTCTGATCTGCACTCCACTGCCCCTCATAGAAAGCAGACGGACTGTAGAAATATGTCCCAGCACCCTTTGAAAGGCAAAAAAGGTTTATAAGTGGAAAATATGGGCCCTATGATGGCAAACGGTGTTTGATACTCACTTCCTTTTTGTCATTTCGCCAGGAACCGACATACACCCTCACATACTCTTTGGTTTCAGGGTCAGTCTTGCTCAGGGTTCCAAACCCTTCTCGCTTTCCATGCATCCATTCCCCATCGTAGATCATTCCTGTTTTCTTCCAAACCTGTGTTCCTTTTCCTTATCAGAGTAAAAGCTTTGTTCAGCTTTGATAAGACAGCAGTGTTTCCTAGAAACACGTAATGCAATCTGCAGAACACATCTAAATAACAAAGTAAATTAAATTAAGGCTTGTCCATTACAACTGCCAGCATAAAAGGTTTCTTACTGATCTTCGAGGCCTGCAATGTTTAAAACATTTCAAAACATTAAAACATCAAAACCTTTAATGGGATATTTTACCCAAAAAAAAAAAATCTGTTATCATTTACTTAGCCTCAAGTTAAGTTGTTTCTAAACCTGTATGAAAATCTTTCTTCTGCTGAACACAGAAGAAGATATTTTAAAGAATATGGATAAGCAAACAGTTTCACTGAACTTCCATTATATTTTTCCCCCATAGTACTATTCAAAATACATTCCTTTATGTTAAACAAAAGAAAGAATTTCATGCAGGTTTAGAACAACTTAAGGGTGAGTAAATTATGACAGAAGTTTATTTTGGGGTGGAACTATGCCTTTAAGTACTGTATTACCATGTTTGTTATTATCCATCCAGTCGCCCGTGTACTGATCCCCATTGACAGAATACACAGTATGGTGCAGTCCACATTTTTGCGCCTTTCTGTCCCAAAGTTTTACACGTGGTTCTGTAGTCTGTGGTCTTTTCAAGAAAGGCATACTGCACATAAAAATATATTTACTATTAGAATTTTTTTTATAGAATATTAAAAAAAAATTCTAGAATATGGTACCACTAAGTAACAGTAGATGAAAATGGAATATGGTAACGTTATACCTATTAGTAATATTAGTATCTGATCTTACCTGTCACCAAACTTCACTTAAACCAAACACACATGTAATTCGTGTACGGTAACTTAGCAACAAGCCTCGACTAATATTTATTTCGCTCGCGCTCCCAGTCATTAGGTGGCGCTGTCATCCTCAGAATCTTATGCTTGCCTGGTGGACGGGTGAAGAAGCGGAGCTTGTATAAACAGCTGGAGCGCCTACTAGCGGCAGAGGGCGGCACAGCAGCGCCAGCGCCGACGGGTACAATGTCACTGGAGAGATGTCAAAGTGAATGGACAGAAATAGATCAAGAATATCAGCAATTGCAGGTTTGGAATGAACGGATATATGTTATATGTGTTCTCAGGTAGCCAAAAGATGAATCTTGTGTTAGTAAAAAGCAAATGTGCCTGTTTTAGATGTTTATGATACGGCTAACAGGCTTTAGCTCATCAGATGAACTGATTTCCTTTTGTTACTGACTAACGTTATACATGTGTATTAAACCAGTGTTAGTTCTCTTAATAACATATTAAAATTTCAAAATAATAAGCCTTATATTCGTTCTATTATTTGAATAAATGTGGTGTGTCACTAAAGTACATGATAATGATTCACGAATTGAACTGGTTAAACCAGGTAAGTTAAGATGTTAACCAAGAGTTGTTGCTCAACTGTTAAAATTATCTTAAAATGATCGATTCTTGAGAGCCAGGGTCAGATTACAGGATGATGACGTTCTAGTCATTGAATCAGTGATTGATATGAAGTTCATGAAGCTCCAGGGGTTTGAATACTGTCAAAAAAGTATTTTTAGGGCATGGGAATACTGTGGAGTTTGGACATATACCACAGTAGTACCTTGGTATTCTCATGAAACATTGTCATCATTCAATGCTGTGATATACATCAAATATTTATCTTGTTTATTGTGTACAAATAAGTTATTTGTGTGGATGTCCTCATGTAAATAACATGGTACTAGATAGAAGAAGAATACTGTGGTCTTTCAGTACTATGGTATTGCCATTATTAATCTACACTCGGCTGTCATCTGTTACTTAGAGATCGAGATCGAGATGGAAAGAATTGTCCCATTCTTAAAATGCCCTTCTAATATTTGAAATGCCTCATGCTTGGAATGAAGCCTTCAGTGGATATCATTTGCCCATTGAAAGGTCATGCATGTATTAGGAAACCATTTTGATTCCATGTTGACTTTCAATGTGTTTTGTACTTTAGGAAACGCACAAAGTGTACAGACAGAAGCTGGAAGAGCTGACAAACCTGCAGGCGATATGCAGCAGTGCCATTAGCAAACAAAGAAAAGCCCTGAAAGACCTCAAGCAAAGTCTTCACAAGTATGAGCAGAGTTTCAGATGTTACTAAAGATCATGAGTATGCATTCACAATGATGTAAACAGATCCTTTTCCTCTTTTGTTGAAAACAGGTGTAAGAAAACCTGCGATGAAAAAGAATCGGAGGTGATTAATGACCTGCAGGTCCAAATTAAAGAAAGGCAAAATGTTTTTTTTGACATGGAGTCCTATTTGCCAAAGAAAAATGGGTGAGTTTTAGTTCTTCATTCTGTGTTATTTATAATACCACAGTTATGTGGTTAGGTTTTGAGGCTTTTTGAAGTTACTCCAAAGGAAGTTATTCTCTACAGTGTTACTTCCTGAAACACCTTGAATGTAGTTCTGTGTAGTGTAGTTTTCTTCCGGAAATGAACGTGTCACCTCATTTAAATAATTCCCACCCAAGGCAAAGCAAAAAAACAGGACAAGGTCTGGTTAAGTAGCATTAATAATGTGTTGAAACTTGTGGTTATGGTAAGGGTCGTGACATTTCCCAAAACGCACTCAAACACACTGGTCCAGCCAACCAATCAGAGCACACTGCGCTTTTTGGAAGGAGGGGCTTCGTAGAGACCGGATCTAAACAGAGCGTTACTGACAGACTGGGAAAAGAGGTGCTAAAACAATGTAAAATGTGTGAAAAATAATGTGTTCAAATCCTATTCTAGTAGACCCCAAAAACATCATCAAGACTTTTGTAAAAGGACATAATATGAATTTTTCTTCTCATTTCAGATTGTACTTAAATTTGGTCCTTGGAAATGTGAATGTCACGCTCCTCAGCAACCAAGCCAAGTGAGTCAGATGTGAGCATGTCCGTTGAGCCCATAGAGAGTTCCCAGAACAAAATTGCTAATTCTGTGTTTTTCTAAATAGATTTGCGTACAAAGATGAATATGAGAAGTTCAAACTTTATATGACTATAATACTAATGTTTGGTGCCGTCACCTGCCTCTTCCTTTTCAACTACCGGTAAGATCAGAAAAATGTAATGTTATTCTGTGGAGGGAAAGGTTCTGTTGGAGTCTAACATGCCGATGTGTCCTTCACAGAGTTACAGATGAAATCTTCAACTTTTTATTGGTGTGGTATTATTGCACATTGACAATAAGAGAGAGCATCCTCATGAGCAATGGGTCACGGTGAGTTCACGTTCACTTTAAAATGCATTTGTTCAGTGCCAGTGCCAACTCCCTAGTGGGAGACGCAGGTTCAAATCTCTCGTCCTGATACTTTCTTCTTATCTCTAAAAAAGAACAAAAAATTGGCAAAAAAAAAGCTTGAAAAAAAATATTTTATTGTATTTTTTTTCTATTTATTTATTTGGTGGTGATCTTTAATTTAGTTGTTTTTGTTTATGTATTTATTTGTTTGTTTTTGATAATTTATTTGGTTGTAGTACTTGTCTATACAAGTATTACTACTATTAATAATACTGTAGTATTTTATTTGTAATATATATATATATATAGGTGTGTGTGTGTGTGTGTATGTATGTATGTATATATATATATATATATATTTTTACAAACTTTTATGTTAGATGCAATTAATCGTTTTGACTGCACTCATTTATGTATTTTTAGTTCATGTATTTATTTGGTAAAATGTATTTATTTTTAGTTCATGTATTTACACACGTAACATTGATAATAATACGCGTGTGTGTGTGTGTTTAAATATATATATATATATATATTTACAAACTTTTATGTTAGATGCAATTAATCGTTTTGACTGCACTCATTTATTTATTTTTAGTTCATGTATTTATTTGGTTGTGGTATTTAATTTAATTTGTTTATTTATTTATTTGGCTATGTAATTAATTTACTTTATTTTTTTCAAATTTTTTGTTGTATTATGAAGATTTTGACTTTTTGATTTATTATTTCTTTGTAGAATTAAAGGCTGGTGGGTGTCGCATCACTACGTCTCAACCTTTTTATCAGGTGTTATGTTGACATGGTACGTGTTTTAGACTTTACATTAAATAATTAAATATTTTTTCCCCCATCCACAACTTATATTTAATTTCCCCTCTTCTTTTAAGGCCAGAAGGTTCAATGTATCAGATGTTCAGAAGTCAGTTCCTGGCGTTCTCCATCTATCAGAGTGTGTATGATCTATTAGCTGCTCAGTATGTTTTTTGTTTGTCTTAGAGTGAGGTTGTGTGCTGTTCTAGTTTATAGTGATGGTGTTGTTTCTCTGGCAGGTTGTGTGCAGTTTCTACAATATTACTATCAGAGCGGCTGCTTGTATCGATTACGGGCTCTGGGGGAAAGAAACCAGCTAGACCTGACAGTGGGTAAGAGTTGTGACAGATTTGAATCATGGGAGAAATGTTGATCTGTATGATGTCATCAGTTGCGTGTTCAACTGACCTCTCATGTTACTCTTACAGAGGGCTTTCAGTCATGGATGTGGAGGGGGCTTACGTTCCTCCTTCCGTTTCTATTCTTTGGCCATGTGAGTTACAGCATTTAAGTGTTTCCTTTTGTTTCTCATGCATCATTCCCTTTTAAAATATTGATTCTTATGCAACTTTGTAGTCACATTAAAAATAAGTTTATGAATGTAGTCCATAAACGTTTTTTAATCCATTTTACAGTGTAACAGCTGTGAAGTTCACAACATGTAACTGGATTTTTGAAAAGATACACAACTGTATATACTATTTCAAAAGATTTATATTTCCAATAAATGCTGCTCTATTTATCAAAGAATCCTGAAATATTTTCCACTAAAATATTAAGCTGCACAACCGTTTTCAACATTGATAATAATAAGAATTTTGAGCATTATTGAGCATCAAATCCGCATATATGAATGATCATGTGACATTAAAGTCTGGGGTAATAATATTCTGCAGTAATACTTTACTGTTTTTACAATATTTTGTAAAGAACTCTGGAGCAAAATGAACCTTTGGTCTAATAAAACATCGGTACCTAGTCGACCGTTCTCTGAGATTTGTTTTCAGGATAATCGAATGTAAAGAGTTTTATGAGTAAAAAAAAAATCGCTAGTTAATACCACTAACAAGGCTCAAAATAGCCCCACACTAACACAGTAACATAATGAGGGTCCATACATGCAAAACAAAGCATTGAGATATTTTATAAAGACAGTGCACTGCACTTCATGTATACAAGCAGCAGACATCTTTGGAAAACAGTCTCGATAAGTCGAACCACGACCGACGTTCATACAGTTCAGAAGTTTGCTGAACTTCAGTTCAGCTCACTTGGCACGTCGTTCATGGTTTGACTATACAAAGTCTTCTGTACTCTTACAAAGTTCTCAATGCTTCGTTTTGCATGTATGGACCCTCATTATGTTACTGTGTTAGTGTGGTGCTATTAGCGATTTCTCTTTACTTTTTAAATACCCCCATATACAACTAGCGTATACACTAAACAGTTTTTAGAGATAAAACTCTTTACATTTGATTATCATGAAAACGAATCTCAGAGAACAGTTGACTAGGTACCCAATGTGTAATTAGACCAAAGGTTCATTTTGCGCCAGAGTTCTCCTTTAAAGGTGCCCTCTGGGTTTTAAAATCAAATCATAAACCATATTCCATACCAGATGGGGGCAGTATACCTCCAGAAATACCTCCGCGGCCGCGCGCACTCTCATGTCTTCAAACAACACGGGCGAGCGCTGTGTTGCTCTGTCTCCCTCGCGCATATTAATCAAATCAATTGACACGATAGTAAACGTGGAGCATTTGGAGAGTTTTAGAGATTAGAGACTCAATGAACAACATCTCAACACTAAATTATATAGGCCGTCTCATAGACAAGCCGGTGCATTTCGACGATATGGGAAAATTAAAGCCCAAGCTATTATTTCTAGTTTTATGGTATTCGTTTTGTTCATATTACATTTTTATCATTAGTTTGAATTAATTTGACAGACCGCATTCCCTGATGTGGACCAAGCTTGCGCCTTTCAGAGCTGCCAACTCTCACAAATTCACCATGAGACACACAATTGACACTTTTCACACACTCTCACGCCACACATCAATTTTGTCACGCACAGAAAAGGACACGGAGACCGATAGACTAAACAGAGCAGGTTAGTTATGATATAAAAAAATCTCAGCTCTCAGATTCTGTTAATTTTATTACGCAATTCAAACAATAGATACGGTTTTGGCTCTTGTAAATGTTACATGACAGATCCCTAGCGCACGTGAATCGATCATCTCTACTAGCTAATGGTAAAAGAACACGAACACTGTTGAAAGATACAGTATGCTACAACTTACCAAAATGTATTCCTCATGCATAATATCGACCAATCATTTTTTTAACTCTTCCCTGGACTGAAATGTAGTAGTGGGTTGTATTTTCCACACGACTGACATCAGGTTCAAGTACACACAAGGCGCGCGTGTTACTCGTGTATTGCAGTTTGGCTGGTGGTTATGTTGCCCGTCCGCATACCGCCTCCCATGGCCTGGTATTACGACACCTGCCTAGTCATTTAGCATGCTAATTCAGGTTAATATCTCGGCAGCACTATTACTTGTAATTTTTTTTAATGACATCATCAACCTTATTTCTTCTAATTCTTTTGATGCGTGTAGCTCATTTTTGGGCTATTTAACCTCAATTTTTACAGAGGGCACCTTTAATGCAGCCTTGGTGAGCTTCTTTCTAAAACACCGTTAAAAAAAAAAACAGTAAAAAATCGTACCGACCTTACTTATTGAACGCTGGTGTATATTGATTCAGGTCACAGACTGGCATATTGTATAAGATATTTGTGTTGCTTTTCTGTCCTCTGGTCAGTTTTGGCAGCTGTACAACGCTGTGTCCCTTTTTAACCTGTCTGCCCGTGATGACTGCAAGGAATGGCAGGTAAAGAGATTATTGCTCAACCCCAAGTGTTAATCTTCTGCACTGTTATACTTCAAATCATTTTATCTATTGAGGCGAGGTGTGCATTCTGGGAGTTGTTGTCTTTCATCCTCATAAGCCTTTTCTCAGTCTAGAAAGCTCCAAATTAAAAAATAATTTCACATTTCTTCTACATAAATGACCCATTTTTAATACACATTCATCTTTCCAGAGGTGAAGTATCCCTTTAAATCACGCCAAAACAATTACGTAAATGTATCTATCCACTAACCATTCAGAATCGTCCAATTGCATTGTCTGAGTCTCCATCAGTGTCCGCCTTTGGTTTGAACATATAGACCATTTCACAAGATGTAAACAACACTGGTCCAGAAGCACTTCCTGTTTCAGTTTGTAACTGTTTTCTTTATTTCACATGTAAAGAAAACATCTTAAAGATGTTTGTTTTAACTTTTTGATTCAGTTTTAAATGTTCTGTTGGTTGTATTTTATCCCAGCTTTTTTGTAGTGTTAAAAAACTGTAACAGGAAGTGCTTCTGGACCAGTGTTGTTTACATCTTGTGAAATGGTCTATAAGGCCGAACACAGCCACTGACAATTTCTGACATTTTTTTTGTTGTTGCTGGAGTGTCCGAAACACAAGCTTTTAAAAGCCCCACCCTCTTCTCGAAAGGCGAGGGGGGAAATACTCATTTGCATTTAAAAGGACACACCCAAAACCGGTTTGTTTTTGACACACTATAATACATTTTCTGAAGGGTCTTATATTTCATCTTGTGAAACCACCCTGGACACCCTAACAGCTATTTAGCAGCATGCTAGGAACCACTATGAACACCTTAGCCGTCCATTACACACTAGGCAATTTTTACACAGGATTTTGTGCACTTTTATGTTTTCCAGAAATCATTGAAAGATTTACTTCAATTATCTTCCAGGTGTTCATGCTGGCCTTGACGTTTCTTATCCTGTTCCTGGGAAATTTTCTCACTACTCTAAAAGTGGTCCACCAGAAGGTCCAGAAGAACACAGAAAAGGTGAAAACTAATTAACCAACTGGAAGATTTCATACGCAGCGAGGCCAGTGTGGAACTCAAAGAACTGAACTGCGGAAGCGCACAAAACTGTTTCGTTTTTCCCACGAGCTGTTTGGAGAGGGTTGAAGGTAGATGTTGACGTCTGCCTTGACTTATTTCAACAGCGGCAGTGGAAACTCAAGATTGTGTTACGTTGCCCTATCGCCTGCCGTGTTGTTTTTGCTTATATATATGCAATCACAGCAATTAGAGGGTAATGTTTGGGTTAGAAGCCACTGACAACCGTCAGACACTGTAAATGAGGAGACTTTGATTCACGTTTTTTGTTCCTGTGCATGGATATGTTTACAATAAGCCACATTTCAACTTTATGCAACACAGCAGGAAGGCTCAGCTCATTGCAGCATCTCAAAGGGATTTGTTATGGTTTTTAATAAACCTGGATAGTGATTAAAGTACTTGTTCTGCTACAAGACATTTTAGCCTAAGCATATGTTACATATTTGTGGGAAAGAATTGATACGATGGTACTTGAAGAGAAAGGTGTGTTTTGCACGTCGTGGCTTGTTAGTATGGTGATTGAGCAAGGCCAGATATTTGAATTAAGGCAACATGATACCGGGAAAATGTGGATTTATTTTATTAACGATGGCAATAATGCTTCTGTAACACTTCATAGTATAGACCATTTCACAAGATGTAAACAACACTGGTCCAGAAGAACTTCCTGTTTCAGTTTTTTAACACTACAAAAAAGCTGGGATAAAATACAACCAACAGAACATTTAAAACTGAATCAAAAAGTTAAACAAACATCTTTAAGAGGTTTTCTTTACATGTGAAATAAAGAAAATAGTTGCAAACTGAAACAGGAAGTGCTTCTGGACCAGTGTTGTTTACATCTTGTGAAATGGTCTATATTTAAAGAAGCATCCCTTTTTATTTTGTTTCATGATTTCCACCTGTATGGTATTTGTATTTAAAGGCATAGTCAATTGCGTTATAAGTCAAAATAACAGTTGAAATTCTGAACAATGTCTTGCTTAATGTGAATGAATGCTGTTAGGATTACATCTGCTGTAATTGAACGAGCTGGTATGTGTGTCTGTTACTTTTACTGACTGTGTCAAAGGAAAAAAGAATTATTTTTTGCCAACATCTTTCATTGTTTGCCATCAGGGAGTTTGCTGACAAGACCTTCTTCCTATGTTATATATTACACAAGCAAGTAGTGAAAGAAGTTGCATTTGGTTACTGGATGATTTGTTGGCCTTAATGGACTCCTTTATCTGTTCACACCTGATTTACTACTTTAGCCTAGAACACAAGTGTTACAAGTTTCATAGGAACATGTGAATTGTAACTGACAAAAAGCTGTAATTACAGGGATTTCTCATGTTGGGAAATGCTTTATTGAACTATTAACCACTCCTTAAATCATGTGTAACACTATTCACAATGTCACTTCATCAGTGCTTGTGTGGAACAAAATAACTGCACTTTTTTTTTCTTGGTCTCAAAATAAGCCTTCAGACTGGAGGGGGAAAAGGTTTCTAAAGGAATTTCTATTGACCTTCTGTTGCTGTAGAGCAAATAAATTCAAAGCTGATGCAATCTGCGTGGCCTCGTGTGAAAATACCATTATTTACAACTTCAACTGCAGAGGGCGCAAGTGTGACTCGTGTACCTCAATATTTAGGACTTGTTAAATGCTGGGAAAATAAATGTTATTCTTTCTTATCTACTTTTTATTCAATCATTTATTTAGCAAACCACAATAAAAAAATCTTTCAAACAACATAATTTACCCCTATTGCCTGACTAAACAAGATGTGGAAAATCAATCACATGTGTCTCTTCGACACATTAAACAGCAGGAAAGAGGCCCGGGATATGTTAGCCAATCAGAATGCACTTCTTTTGTTCAGTCATTTTGCTTTTTTTTTTTTTTTTTTTTTTTTTTTTTTTTTTTTTTTTTTTTTTTTTTTTTTTTTTTTTTATTATTCTAACCAACAAAGTCAATATACAGTCAGAATTGCAATATATACAAAATGGAGAAAACAAAAACAAGCTGAAAAAACAAAAACAAACAACAGACAGCCAGGGGGGGAGGCTAAACATTATATAAAAATATCAAAGGATTCACAAATCGAAATAGTTTTAATTGCTTTCTTATTGTGGGAATGAAGGATAGTTTTGATATATAATTGCATTTCTTTTTCAAGAACCAAAAACAAAGGTTTGGTTTTATTGTACTTACATTTATGTATATGGAATTTAGCATAAATTAAAATTAAATTTATAATATAGTATTCCTTCCTTTTATTTGAAGGAATATTATTAAAACCAGCTATAACATTTTCTAAACACAAAGAAAAAGAGGGGTCAATATTGTGAATTATAAATCTAGATAAGTCTTTCCAAAACTTTCTTACATGAGCGCAATGCCAAAACAGATGAAACAAAGTTTCAGGCAATGTATTGCAAAAAGAACAGTTCAGATCAATATCCTTTTTAAATTTAACAAGAAAATTATTTACTGGGTAGTACCTGTGTAAGATTTTAAAGCTAATTTCCTTTATTTTGTTTACCAATAAATATTTGTTTGGTAAAGTCCAGATTGCCTTCCATAACAGACCTTCAACCAGTCTATTCCAGTAAACAATACAGTTTGGCCTCGTGACAATATCTTTTTGAAACAATGAACGAATGGTTTTATTTACATTTACGACTCCGGGGCCAAAACAAATCTTCCCAATTTCAGTATCAAATAAATTAAAGGAAGTAAGGGGTGTAGTACTGGTTTGGTTATTAGCTCTGAATAATGCTAAGACCCCTGTAGGGATCGCATCCATGACAATTGAAAACTCCCTGGGCGTCACTGGAATTTTATGGAGATCTAAAAACTCAGAGTAAGTTAGCAGCATACCTTCTTGATTTAGTAATTGACCTACTCGTATTATACCTGCTGAAAACCATCTTTCAAAAAATAAGGTTTTGTTTTTAAATAATAAATTGTAATTGTTCCAAATTAAATATCTATGGGGTGAAAAATTATGCTTATATAAAAGGGACCAAGCCAGCAACATTTGTTTGTGAAAGCAAGACAAATTTAAAGGGATTTTCTCAATTTTATAGTTGCAAATCAATAGAAAATCAAGACCACCTACTTGGGAGAAAACAAGATTGGGTATAAAATTCCAAAGGGAATTCGGATTTAGAATGAAATGTCTAATCCAATTTATTTTAAAAACATTATTTAAAGTACTGAAATCAAGGAAGTTTAAACCACCAGATTCATAATTATTCATTATTATAGACTTCCTAATATAGTGAGTTTTGTTTCGCCAAAGAAAATTAAATAATGCAGTATCAATAGATTTACACATCACCTTAGAAACAGCAAGTGAAGTCGCAGTATAGACTAATCTTGACAGTCCCTCAGCTTTACATAACAAAACTCTACCTTTTAGGGATAAATCCCTCAAAAGCCAATGGTTCAGCTTTGCTTTAGCTTTCTGGAGAAGGGGATCAAAATTTATCTTACATCTAGATTTTTGGTCTTTCGAAATGACAATCCCTAAATATGTCACAGTCTCCTTTACTGGGATATTAGCAATTTGTTGTAATTGACAGTCTTTAACAGATAACAATTCACATTTGTTGATGTTTAAGTAAAGGCCTGAAGCTTTAGAAAAGGCATCTATTACTTTAAGAGCTTCTGACACTTGATGTTGATCTTTTAGAAAGAGTGCAGTATCGTCTGCTAACTGGGATATTATAATTTCCCTATTAGCAAAAGATATGCCTTTTAATTGGCTTGACTTAATATGGATATTCATGAGCTGAGTGCAAAACAAGAAAAGATAAGGGGAGATGGGACAACCTTGCCTTATACCACGGTTTAAATTAAATCTAGATGATGAACCACATTTAAGTTTAATAGAACAGTTTGCATTCCTATACATTGTCTGTATAGCGTTACAAAAAAAATCTCCAAAGCCAAACTTTTGTAAGGACCTAAAAATAAAAGCATGCTCCACTGTATCGAAGGCTTTATAGAAATCCAAGAAAAGAATAAATCCATCATCAGTACTTAAATGCGAATAGTCCAACACGTCTAGAACTAACCTTATATTATTTGAAATATGTCTTTTCTTTAGGAAGCCAGATTGAGCTTCATCTATAAGGGGGTCCATAACTGATTTGATTCTATTTGCAAAAATTAAGGCAAAGATCTTATAATCATTGTTTAAGAGAGAGATTGGTCTCCAATTATCTAATAGCAGAGGGTCTTTTTTTGGTTTTGGAATAAGAGTAATTAAACCTTGAGTTAAAGTAGGTGGAAGACAATGATTTTCTATGCTCTCTATATAAACTTCTTTAAGAAACGGGGCAATAAGATCAGAAAATGTTTTATAAAATTCAGCCGTGAGGCCATCAACCCCAGGAGATTTATTAACTTTAATATGTGTGATAGCATTTGAGACTTCCTCAACAGTAATTGAGCTATCACAAAGCTCTTTTTGTGCAGGGTCGACAGATTTACAATTTATTTCAGAGATAGAATTTAGAAATAAATAAGCCGAATGATCACAGAATTTGGAAGAATATAAACCACTATAAAATTCTGTACAAAATTTTGATATTTTAACTTGGTCGTCTGTGACATCCCCATCTATTTTAAGTTGTTCAATTGTATTATTTTTAGAATGAAATTTCTCTAGACCAAAAAAATATGCAGAGTTTTGTTCCCCTTTCTCCAACCAGCGCTTTCGTGACCTGGTGAAGGCTCCTTCTGCCTTATTCTTATACAATTTGTCCAACTCCAATTGTAGAGTGACTAACTCAGCTTGTTCATCTTCATTTGGACATGATTTTGAGGAAAGGAGAGCTAACCTTGAAATAATATTGTCCTCTTTATTCCGTCTTTCTATTGCCATTATGCTACCCTGTTTTCGAAAGTACTTAGCTACGTCAAATTTCAATAGCTCCCAATTACTGCAGAATTTCTTTTCTGAAAGTGCTTTATACCAATAACATAAAATAAGATTTTTAACCTTTTTTTAATATGTTCGTATTGTAGTAATGAACTATTAAGTTTCCAATAACAACTTCTCATGGTATGTGGAGAAGTGCTGGAATTAATAGTGATAAGAACAGCTTTGTGGTCGCTGAATGGAGAAGGAATCACATTAACAGAGACATCTGAAGATTGTATATTCGCAGACACTAACCAATAATCTATTCGAGATTGCCTGTTGCCAGACTTGTTGCTCCAAGTATATGTCAAAGAATCAGGAAACCTAGACCTCCATATATCAACCAAATTGAATCTCTCCATAAAACGTTTAAGGTTTGTATTTTGATTATAAGATGGTCTTGCAGGTAAACAATCGAGAGAGCCGTCCATAACAGTATTAAAATCACCCCCTATGACAAGAGAAATATCCGGGAATTTCGATAGCTCCTGAAGGATATGCTCCTCTAAAGTTTCAAATAAATGATCATTTTCACTTTTAGAATTATATCCATAAACATTCACAATGAGCAATACAGAACCATGAATTTTGAGAGTATGGCACACATAATGTCCAGATCCGTCACGCTGTGTATGCAAAATCTCCCCGGTGAATCTGTTCTTTAAAGTGACGACACCGGCGGACCGCTCAGATCCATGCGCACACCAGATGTCGTTACCCCATTGAGTCCTCCAGAAACGCACATCATCAGGAATCGAATGAGATTCTTGAAAAAAACAAAAATCAGTCCTATGCTGTTTAGCAAATAAAAATAAAGCTTTCCGTTTAATATGTTGCCTTAACCCCCTGGCATTTAGTGTAACTATAGACAATGACAGTCAGTCATTTTGCTTGTTCGGTTTGCTGATAATAGGTTGACGACATATTTTGAAGGGCGTGGTTGTGGAAAGGGGGCGTGTGGTTGAATTTGTCAGAATTTGTGGAAATTGCACGTTTAAGTTTTATTAATGTATACTAATTCTTCCTAGTATTTTTTTTATAATCATAGTTGTGACCAGTTATGGTAATCCCCATTACTTTATTGTTATATTTGTGTCCATTCTTATAAATAACATATTTATAAAATACAATACCCTATATAAAACAATGAATTATATTTACATAATTATAAATAATTAATGTAAATAATTAACTTTCAATACCTTGAAGAGTAGCTTAAATGACTTGTAAAATTAATAAAAGCACAAAGCGCATCAAAATGGATCAAAATAAATGAACATCGATAGTAACATTTCAATCTTTAGCTTATAGCTGTGACACGCAGCAATATTTGGAGACTTCCGTTACCGCAATCGCATCCTGTTAGGCAGGAGTTTTTATACAAACCACAACAAGATCACTTTTGTATTCTGACCAAGTTTGTTTTTCAAACCAGGCAGGGATTTTCTACATATTTCTGCCTAAAATCTGAAAATTGCATCATGCAAAATGAACAGTATCAGCGCCAATGAAATGAACACGGCTATAAAAGAGCTATACAATTTTAGTGAATCCTGTTTCACACACACAATTTCCTTCAGTAGGCAAAAGGCATACTCAATATATAACTTAAAACACAGGTTTATTTGTGCAATCTACACACAGGGTGTAACAGACAAAATGTTACCACATAAATGATTCAACACTTTCTGGCATCTATGTTCGATCTTATCAACTTAAAGATAGTAAATAATCCATGTACTGAAATAAACAAAAAGTGTGATTCCAGTTAAAATGGTGGGCCTACAGTAAGATCCGCTCTGTGGCATGGCGTCTCTGGACCGGAGCTGCGGAGTTTCATTCGTGAAACCAGACTTCTTTTGTCCCATTGGAAAGCATATTTACACTGTCTAAACCGTTCCCTATCCCCTATATGTGCCATTCAGCATGTAGAAAATAGTAAGTGTGTGAACAATTGACCAAGTTTATTTAAAATGTACGGGGCGGGACACTATGGATTCTTGAGAGCATTTCATTGGACAGAAAATCTGATGAGAAGTTGAAGTGCAAAGTGATGTCATCAAAATCATTGATCCATATTTGCGAAAGTGAGAGACTGTAAGTATTGATTTTGAAGCACAGATAACAGCTATAGATAACACTAAAGCGAACATCTTTCTAAAGGCCAAAAAACTTCCATTTTGATTCCATGGGGACTTTAAGGCCCGTTCACACCAGAAAGAAAAATACTGTAAGTTTTAAACTTCAACTGCAGATAACATGAATTACGCAATAGAAACATGTTACACCCAAGTGCATTATAATGACAGTTACTTGAGTCGGTTGTGCATTACAACAGTACAGTAATATTATACAACACAATATTGCACAACAGACTGTAAGCAAACTTCCAATGTGAACCTATGAGATGTACTGTCATCCCTAAAACATCAGCAGCAGTTTATCCATCTTCCACGACCAATTTCCATTAAGTCATATCATCAGTTGGAAGATGTGGCACGGACCGGAAGACAATGTCCCAAAAAAATATTCCTTTGAGGAAACTTAAACAATCCTGAGAAGCTTTGCAGGTGGTTCCAGAATGTTTAGAATATATCATAGTTCATATGTACAAAACTTGAACGAAATCAATTTCTTCAAGGAATGGTCACAGGATGGCACAGCGATTCCTCTTCTTCTGGAGGTGTCTTGCTTTAGCCCTGGCCGCTAGCGCTCGCTTGGTCGCTTCTTTGAAAATGTCCTCTACGTTTTCTCTATATTTAGCCGAACACTCCAGGTATACTTCAGCGTTCAATTGCTTCTGGACCTGTTCACCCTAAGAACGAGAAATGTAGGTTAGTTACTCTGGACCATTACTAACCACAACTTTTAAGCTCTTAAAAAAGTTCACTTTCTTTCTTTAGTCGAAAAGAAATTAAGGTTTTTGATGAAAACATTCCAGGATTTTCTCCATATAACGGGCTTCATTAGGAACCAAATGGTTCAAGGTCCAAATGACAGTTTCAGTGCAGCTTCAAAAAGGCTTTAAATGACACCAGGCTGGGGTATGAATAAGGGTCTTATCTAGGACCCTTCGAGTCATGACTTGAAAAAAGACTTGTTAATTTAGATGAATGAGTTTGAACAGGAGTGTCACGAACGCTCATCACAGAACAGAGCTAGGCGAGCATTTGCGCTTATAAAACTTCAACTTTTTTATGTATTTTGAAATGTTTCGCCAGACCCTTATTCATCGTCTGGTGTTGTTTAAAGCCCTTTAAAGCTGCACTGAAACTCTCATTTGGACCTTGAACCATCTGGTTCCCATTTAAAGTCCATTATATGGAGAAAATCCTGGAATGTTTTCATCAAAAACCTTAATTTCTTTTCGACTGAAGAAAGAAAGACATGGACATTTTGGATGACATGGGGGTGAGTAAATTATCAGCAATTTTTTTTTAAAGTGTTTTACTCCTTTAACCTGTTTTATATTACTTTATGTGGCATAGCATGATCTCATTACCTGGTTACTCCATAAAGTATTAAAACAATAAACATCACAAGCACCCCAACAATGTAAAATCTATTTATGTTGCTACAAATTATTTCTGTTTTAAAGGGATACTCCACCCAAAAATGAAAATTCTGTCATCATTAATTCACCCTCAAGTTGTTGCAAACCTGTATGAGTTTCTTTCTTCTGATTAACACAAAGAAATTTTGAAGAACGATTGGAACTTTGGCACCATTGACTTCCATAGTGTTTTTTTTCTACTATGGAAGTCAACTGTGGTTCCAATCAAAATATCTTCCTTTGTGTTCAGCAGAAGAAAGAAACTCATACAGGTTTGCAACAACTTGACGGTGAGTAAATGATGACAGAATTGTCTTTTTTGGGTGGAGTATCCCTTTAAATATGTTGGTTTAGAACTTGCTGAAAAAAAAGTATCATGGTTTCCATAAAAACATTTAGCAGCAAAACTTATTTAACTCAATATGACACACACACACAAAGGCCTATACTGTATATAAAAGCAGGGCTTGACATTAACTGTCACCATCCCACATGTGGGACACTTGCCATTATATTTTTAAAACAATAATATCTTAGAAAAGACCTTAAGTAATATTGATGAACATGAAAAATCATGAAAAAAAGGTAAAAACCTCAGTTTGTTTTCATGCCAAGAGTTCAAAAGATTGCATTTATTCAATTATTTTAGAAAAAAGGTCTGAAAATGTTTTAAATATAAAGAAAAAAATAATAAATTCACCATTTGTGATGTGGCAGGAAGCTATAACGCACATGTGTGTTCTTTGTATGTTTCTTAGAGGTTGAATTCATATCAAAGTCTGCCAAACTTCCCATACTACTTCTGAATAGGATGTCTACCTCATAAATTGTATGAGAATTGTGGAAATAATGGTTCAGATCACTCAAAACACATTTGGAAATGGTGGTGCCCTTATACGGGCAGTAATGGAGTCTGGTTATGCCTTAGTGAAAAAGTTTGGTACTGCGCCCAAACAAAATCTTACTGAAAGCTATTTTTTTTTTTTTTTTAGATATCCTGACCTAAAATTTTAAACACAACTTGTTCAGATTTTTGGCTTTGGTTTTTTTGCAGATTTAGAGTGGCCCATGTTTTGAAAATATATATTTTTTAATATAATTATTTTTAATTTTTTTTTACATTGTACCATTTCCATAAACTCAAACTTCTATAACTTTGTTTTCTGTTTCACTTTCTTAATTTATTTCACTTCTACAAAAATCTGCCAAATGTCTTCTTTAACACACACCAAATAGCAAATATGACAAATATATGACAAATATGATTTGCTATTTGCACAGCTCTTAGTGTAGCCTTAATGTTTTATGTACTTTTGTCTTTTAACCGTTTTAAACCTGTACCTCTGTTCTGTCATGTAATATGTTTGTAGCAATCTCTTTATATCCAAAATTAATTTCTCCTCAGGGGGAGACAAATAAAGATACTTTGACTTTGACAAATGCGGGTGGATTTCAGCACTCCTATTAGCCACTTTGGTGGGTTGAATTTTGTATAATAATACATAGATTTTTCAACTGCAGTCTTTTAAAAAGGCATGTTGTCAAAAATATTGATTTTTCAATAAATATCAATACTGAAATATCTGAAATCCTTCCAATAGTCATTTACGGCAGAACATATACACGATACCAGATGCGCTTTCTCACTCTCTCATCTCTCCGACTGTGAGTTGACACAAACCTGGATGAATATTGTTGGTGTTTCAGGGGTTGAATTTCTGCATGGGATTTGTGTATTGCACATAATTTTACTCATTCCCGGAGTTTTTGTGCTCAAATCCAAAGGTTGCGTGGTTAAAGCTGCCTTTCGGTACTAAATTAAACTCTTTTTCTCTGCTTATTGCTTATTTCTCGACGAATATTCACGTAAACAGTCAGTTATGTTTAAGTGAACTTAAACAGTTGAGAAAGAAAACGCATGTGCAACAGTATAATGGATCTGTGTGTCAGGTTTTAAAGTGACAGCTGCCTAATATACCGGTTGCCAAATTATCCAATAATAATAAAATATCTCTATAGCAGTTTATCCCCATGATATCCGATGTCAAAATTGTGGTCAGTGAAAATGCTGAATGGTTACTAACTTTGGAAAACCACTAGCCACAGTGGCTGGTGAGCAAAAAAAATGAATGTCAACAGCCCATTCTCACACCCAAGGCGTCACTTAACTGACGCCTTGGGAAGCATTTGGACATGCTTCAATATCTGGCGCTTTAGGCGCCCTTTAGCGTCAGTTAGATGACGCCCTAGGATCGCGTGTACCCTACCCCCACCCCACACCTAAACCTAACCGCGTCCTCTAACAGACGCTTTCCTTTAGCGTCAGTTAGATGACGCCGTAGGATCGCGTCATGTAAGTGACGCTAAAGGGCGCCTAAAACGTCAAATATTGAAGCATGGTCAAAGGTGACGCCTTGGGGTGAGAATGCGTTGATGTCAAGCGCTGTATATAGGTATATGTAAATATAATGTCAACCTGGAGGTAGGTGATGGGCGCCATATCTAAGGCTTTGAGCTTCCTGGTCTTCTCCTTGTCTTTTCGCAGGTCCGTTTTGCAACCTATCAAGATAATGGGGACATCATGGCAGAAATGATGGACCTCTGGATACCACTGTAGGAGGAGAGGAAAACATTGCTCAAAACAGAACTACTTCTTTTATGTAAATACTTGTTCTGGTCTTCCTCAATGCTCTAATGGTGAACTGTCTCTATCTTTAGGCCCTGAATGAACAATCCCTTTGCTGTGCCTTTATTTAAACAGGGCTCGGCACATTCCTCTCAGCTGACATGACAGAAAGCTTCCAGAAATACTGTTTGTTTTCAGTGGTGATCCATCTGTATAATCATCTACACTCCAGGTCAAAGTTTATCAGCTCACAGTTGCCAGCAAACGACGTTAACACAGACTTTCATCAGTAAACGGTTTCATTCCCAGTGGATTTCACCTTTATTGTGACATTGTCGAACGATGTTGGATTGGTCACATCGTAGCAGATGATAACAAGGTTTACTTCTTGATACGACAGAGGCCTCAAGCGATCATAGTCCTCCTGGCCTGTCAATAAACAGATTTTGGTTAAAATGACATTTTACCACACACTGAAACCTGAACACATACTACATTATCTAGAGTGTTTCTATCCTGATATAGACAACAAGTCATTCAAGCAGAGGCGGAGACATCTGACCATATATAGAGCATGTATGTCGAATTTAAGTACTTCGATGAAGAACCGAGATGTGGTAGAAAACCACATCCTGACTTCAACATCCTGTTCCAGAGAGGCAGAGAAGGTCCGGACAGCAGTGCGAGTCTGATAAGCAGCACAATTACCGAAAATGTCATTCAATTCATTTAACACTTCATACTTTACAGAATTTATGGAGAAATTTGGGTAATATAGACGTTAGGGGTTCACTGGAATTAAATTCATGATCAATATGCCACAGTATTTTGATGTGTGTTTTCAAATAAGCCATAAAATGTCTGATGATTAGAGTGATTTATCCTCATTCTATGGTATTAGATTCATAAAAATATGTCCTGTAGATTCTCAATGTACAGTTCTTAAATGTTTTACCTCAAATATTAACTCAATCTTCTACAAATTTGGAGCTTCAAAAATAAAACAAAATTACTCCAGTCTTCAACTCAAAGAAACATTCCCCAACTGTTGAAAACAGTTGCGTTGCTTAAGATTTTTAGTAGAAAGCGGATCTTTTTTTTCCCCAAGATTCTTTGATGAATAGAAAGTTCAAAAGAACACAACCGATTTTAATTAGAAATCTTTTGTAACATTATAAATGTCACTTGAATGCATCCTTGCTGAATAAAAGGAATCATTTATTTAGTTTTTCTCAAATAAACCTTACTGACCCCATACTTTAGACCAGTGGATTATATGATGATAAAGTATTAAATGTAAATAATGAAATGATACATGCAATGTTCATCCACACACTGCATTACACATTAAGCATATGACTTGTTTCACCACATCCGCAGACTTATTTTGGCCCAATAAGCCCCTGCTTAGAAACTGGCGTGATAGTAAGAATATGAATATTTCACCATAGCTAATATATTTAATTTTAGGTAAATACTGTATATATGCTGTTATATTATTTTTATCATAAAATATGATCAAAGTTGTGCGTGCTCCCTGATCTCAGAGATGACAGCTCTTAAAACTATTACCAATGACCTACTCACACCCATGTTGTACTTAACATTCCTGCCTACATATTTAGCTGATCAATGAAGCATGTCACTAAAGAGAATGAGGGTTGGAATCTAAGGTGTGTCTCGTGTCTGACAGGGTTGGCACTTACCTGCTGTATCATAGAGATTCAATTGAATGTCTTTTCCTCCATAAGACACAGTGGTGACATATTTGTCGAACACAGATGGAGCGTATTTCTGTTGAACATCAAGATCAAATCAGACAAGTACAGGAATATAATGGTGCATGAAAAGTTATTGTTTCTACAATACACATTAAAATCAAGGCGTTGGCAGAAACCAGAATTGCTGTCTGGGAGTGGAAAAACTTGCTGAGGATATTGTGTAAAAAAAAAAAAAAGTGACTGTTATACATTTTGCAATGTTTCCTTCTCTGAAACATGTTTCAGAGTTTCGAATGTGGGTTAATGGTTATTTCTGTGACTTTCTAGTCTATGATACTGAAGTCTACTCATCTGGTCTAAAACTGTCAAGAAAAAAAAAAAAAATCTCACCTCAGGGAAATCTCCTTTGGCGTACACCATAAGCAGGGATGTCTTTCCACAACCTCCATCTCCAACGATCACGATTTTGAGTGCATCAGCTTGAGTGCCATTGCCGGCTACAGTGCCGTTCTGGGTCATGTCCTTTACGTGGGCCGCACTGGCCAAGTCAGTTCCTCCAACAGGTGCCCAAGAGCACAGAAGTGTCAGGTAAATTCATGAGACTAAAACTCTGCCAGGTAAGCATGCTGCTATCCGGTCCTAACTTCCTCCTCCTTCTTGCCTTTTTTTCTTTTCAAACCATGTGACTATGTTTTCAAGTATAGCCCAGATAAGAGCATGCTACTGTAATTGAGGCTGTGTGACATGTGGGAGTTGTTCCTGTCTGTCTACACATGTTCTGCACTCTCACTAGGCGGAGTACATGAAGACACTCCCTCGAGCCGGTCGTAGAAGAGTTGACTTCTAAACATAATTCAGACCACCTGAAAACCTTCATTTTTCACATTCCCCCGAGGGTTGATAACAGCATGCTGATCTGAATGGCACATACTTGAGATAGGCCATGATGCAGTGATTATTCTAGCAACTTGCTGATCATCAAGTGGATTATATAATTACATTAATAAGAACAATTGCATAACTAAAAGTGCTATTAATTGTACTGAGAGATTTGCCAGTGTTAGTTTAGTATCAAATACATACTATTATAGTTTTTTTATGTTTTGAATTTGTTTTTATTTAGTAATTTTGAGTTTTTGTTATTTTTAGTTTAGTTTTGGTTAGTGTCTAGATAGTAAACTATAATAATCCTGCTTATAAAAAAATATAAATGCCTATAAACATTGATGCATATGTACATACATTAATTAATTGTTTCTTATTTAAAAATTATTTAAATGTAAATTGAAAAAAGCAATGCAATCATTATGTAAATGTCAGTTCATGCTCCTTAATATTATTTTTCATTTGTTTAAAAATAAACTTATTTAACCCCGAAACCGTATTCTGGACAAATGTGGGCAAAGTAGTTTTGAGTTATTTATTTATTTAAAAATACTTCCCTCGTTCTGAGCGGTACAAGACTTGGCTACTTTTTCTCAGTTTGCCTCCTGAACACACACAATTGTTTTTTTACTCAATTCTACAATGCTAAGTGGGTGAAAAAAACTCCTTAATCTTGTATTTGGGTCATAAATGGGCACCCATAGAAATGAATGGGAAAAACGCTCATTTAGAGCATTCTAAAATAAGCCAAAATAAGACACCAGGTGACAGCAAAGTCACTTCATCTTTAGGTTTTAGCTCTAAGAACTTATTGGAATAATATTTTAATGTAGTTAAAAGAATTTTAAAAAATAAAACATAAAAATAAGCATAATTTACATATAAAATATGATACTTTTTGAAGTAAATAAATTAAAAAATACCCCCAAAATAAAAAAAAAAACACCATAAATGGATAGACAAAACTTTATCGAAGACAGTGATATTACATTTATAATAAATACAAATGAGGAGTCCTCTGTGCCCACATTTGTCCAAAATTACAGGATTAAGGGCTATAAAGTGAATACGGTTTGAGGGCTGCAAGTTATTAGTAATGTGTGTTCTTTGTTTATGAAATGTTTAAATAGCCCACTACATAAATTAGAGGACTGGATCTTCTATGATGGAGCTTAATTAATCTGCTTAAGAGAGAATTAAATGAAAAAATGTATTGCCTATTTTGAAATAGCCTATTTAAATACGGAAACACTATGTAAGAGGTCCCAGCAAACGGGCACTGTTGCCATGAAGCAAAGCAAAACCTTCAGGGCCCCTGAGAGTATAGCCTAATACGCATTTCTTAATTTATTTTACCAATGGCCAATGGGTGACTGTTAATGCACCCCCGCACCGTCACAGCCAATGAGAGACTAGAAATGGTTGTTGTTTTTTCTGCTCACAGATAGGCGGCGTCATCATCATGTTATGACTGTCTCGTCACATAACTGAAGAAGATTTACTGGTTCCCAAACACTGGAACAGAGAGGAACTACTAAAATTCATTACGAATTAGCTACATGTTCTCACATTATTTATATGGATTGTTATGGCAGCCTACATAAACAAAAAGGAGCATTAATCCATTAACAAAGGAGGACAAAAGAGGCCTACACCATAGGATAAAAATGGATGTGCCTGTTTTCCGTCATACGGGCCCCCTTTGGCTCCGTCAGTTCACACACAGCGAAATAATACATTATTTTAATTAATGATAAAATAAGTCAATTTCGTTTCGACTAAACCGCAAATTATGAGAATGTGGAAAAAAATAAATAGGCCTAAAACTAAACATGTCAATAAATACAAGACGATATTTATTCATGTAAGAACAATATTTATTACGATATAAAAACATTTAAGTGAGTGCAGAATCACTTTGTAAATATACTTACCATACTAGCTATTAAATATAGCCTATTACAATCCATCATCAAAATTCTAAATAAGAAAAGGTTCAAGTAAAAAAAATATGCGCACCGTGAATTGCATTTGGTTCTGTTCAACGTTTCCTCAGATTTCAAGCGGATTTAAGGTTTTAAAAGGAACATTAAAAAGAAAATGTACATAATACTGCCATCAACAATCCTGTGTAGTCTAATTTTGATTTCAGACGCCTCATAGGCTAGTCTCCATAATATAAAAAATACAAAATATTTTAAATAAGATTTCCAAGAATCAACTTTTCCAGATTACCCAACAGCCTAAATAAAAGCTAAAATAGCTTATTTCATTAAAGGCGAAGCTGAATGTCGAAATTTATCGAGGATCCAATCCAGCTGTCCAGAGCACAAATGGAGCTTTTCGCACACGTCAGCATATCGAGTAACAAAAAGAAATGTTTATATAAACTGGTTTCGTCTGAGATCTATGTAGTTCTTTAATGCCTTTAGAAACAGCTTGCGTTCGCGGGTTACTAAGATAAAGAGGATTTTCCTAATTAAACACACGAGTGCCATAAAATGGCCTCATGACCCACTTCAGCCCTGGGTAGCAGGAAACAATGTGGTCATCACGTCTTCTTCAGTCCTTTTTCTGGCATATTCGGTCACCAATCCTATTTTAGACTATGGCAGAGAGACAAAATCATATTGGTATGCATGCAATAATAACCGTGAATCCTAAAAGCGAAAGACAGATGGTGCGTTTCCTTGCGCAATACCATTCTAGCTGATAAATTGGATCTGGCATCGCCCCAAACGCACAGAAAGAAGGGGAAAGAAAAAAATACAGAGGCAATAACCAAATCCCAATGATAAGATGCTTGGGTAATCAGTATGTCCATTCTCCACAATAGTGGAATAAGCTACATACAAAATTACATATCCATAAATTGTGCAAAACACGACAATTTGCATACCACATACCGGTATGTGTTGCAACACTGTGATATATTCACCAGAAGATCTGAGAAACCTAAGTAGTGCGCAATCCTGCAATGCATCACGTCAAATGATCCTCTGAATGGCTGGCGAATAAACTGCACCGAATGTTCTGAAAGGGGGACGAGAGAGCACAGAGGACTGGATATTCCCTTTGTACTTGCTGATTGAAATGCCACACAGTGTTTGAGATTCTTTCTCCGACTTAAAATGGTTAGGTGGGTGCAGTCAGTCACATCCCGGACCCGTGGCATGCGTCCAAACTCTCAGATTACCGCCGTGTGTGTTTTGTGCCACAGGGTTTCCAGCGCCTTACGCAGCAGCGTCGAGGGCGCCTTTTACGCACGAGATATTATTGAGAGTTTTGTGCAATATTCTCGCTTCTGAAACAGCCAGCCTCTCTGACCACATTTTGTCAGTTTGTGTTTGCAAGGGTTGCCACGTATAAAGGCAGAATCAGCTGAAACAGCGACCGACAGCCTCGCCCATAAATGGCGCAGCAACATTTCTTTTCCTCAACGATGTCCTTGTGAAGACGCCATGTTGAAAATGAAAACAGCAGAGAAGCCATTAAACAGCAGGCTATTTCTGAGGTCGCTTTGGACATGGGTCAGCAATGAGAGGTGTCTAAAAAAATGATTTTTTACACCTTTCTTTCTCTCTCACACAATTATCCCCACAGGAAAACAATACCTACTCGTAATTTTTAAAATGAGTTTGAAACATAAATATGATTTAATGTTACCTTTTAAAACAGAGTATTCCCATGTCATTTTTTGTCAAATAAGGTCGCATAAACTATTACCTTCGGAAAGAAAAAGGACATTTTCTTTCTTCTGAATGATGAAGTGCAAGCGAGTGAATTTCTCTTGTCATTCTGTCTTCAGGAAGAGAAAGAGAGGGATTGTTTGCATATTGCAATATCTAAAAGTGCCTCAAGATTTTCAGCAGCTCCACACGTTGGAGACTGCGCAGATTGGTGTGTTAAATGATGAATTATGTCGAAAAACGAAGGCAGGAAAAATGGTTATTGTCGTTTTCTTCTTTTTAGGCGTTGCAACCCAACCCCCTCTTTAAAGCCAGTGTTAAAGGATCCGACGATGGGAATGAAAACGTTCCTGTTTCTTCAACGTATAGGCCTGATAGAATTATTTCAACAAAATGTTAAGGTAAATATCTTTGTTAGTGCATTAATGATTATGTGTGTTTAAAGTCTTATTTATACATTATCTCAAAAGTGAACTATGTCATGAGACTAGTGTAATGAAGTGTGCCCTTGGCACAAGGTCAGATATATAGTGAGTGTTCACTTACTGAAAATAGTAGGGATTTCCATTGCATTGTAAAATCAGGAATACACTATTCCCAATCTGCACGCCATGAAGAGAAGTGAAGTCCACCAATTTCTTTAAATATAAATTTACTTTTTTTAAGTGTTTTGATAGCACTACTGCTGTAGGATTAAAAATAGTGAGTCACAACCAGGATGAGCATTAAAACAACCACAAACCCTATCAATCATACCTGTGATTCAGCACTTTTGTAAAAGGCCAATCTCCTTTTTCTCTGTGGCCTGCCTTGTTTGCTGAAATGTGAGAAGCAATCCATTTAAATGGATATTTTAAAAAAAACAACATGCAACTGAATGTTCTGAAGACAAAGCTAGACTCAAAACTAATGACACTTAGGGAACGCTAAAAGGAAATAGAAATTCAGTCAATATACATAAAATGCCTCAGTTTAATTAACAATAAAACATTTATTTTTGCAGCTAAATAAGCAAAGACAATAAAGATAAACTTACTTATTGATTAATGCTTGGCCCTGAACAAGGCAGGGCCTTAAAAGCAGTTGGTTATTTTCATGGGTTTCTTTTTTTTCTTTTTACTTTCTAGTTAGTAATAATAAAAACCAAATGCAAAATGTTTATTCAGTAGCATTTTACTAAAGAACAAAATGCTGTTATATGGGTGTGCCATGACCTAGTTTGCTGGGACAAAGATGGTTTCCAGGAAGAGAAAAAAAAAAAGCTTAAAAATGTCAAAGGGATACCATCCAACATTTCATCTTCCTTCTTCTCAGATCCTGTAAATAGAAACACTGTATGTATTAAATAGTCCATAAAAGGCTGTTGAAACCAAGATTTAGATCCCTTTTGGAACAAAGGAAACCCATTTTGGCCATTGAGTCCCAGTGTAGGAGAAAATGGCTGCGCCTGCATTCAGCCTTCTTTCTGCTCTCTGTAGGAAGAACTGAAGGCTGTGCTTCAAATAGCTGAATCTACCATGGTGCTTCAATCTGATTGGCCAGAGAGGGAACTGCTGTTAACCAGCCAATTGCCCAAGCACCGCAGAATATCAAACAATGTTGGGAATGGACTGAAAAAATGTACAACAAAAATGTAGTATTAGAACAAGAAAAGGGAAATAACATTAAAACAGATTTACAACTTTGCTTTTATAAGGCGGTCCCTCATGAAAGTTCATTTTACTGACACATTCTGAATGCATGACTTAAAACATATCCCGGGATAACTGTTTATACGAAAACAAAACTGCATTTCGTTTTTAAACCAAATCATTTGGGCTTTCAGTGCGTGTCCCAGTTCAGTTTTAACAACCTTCCCCAACGCTGCTGCTCCATGTCCATCTTGTATTTAACGTTCATGTAAATCTATCGTGCAGATTCAACGCGTTCTAAACCTTCGCTTTACTGCGCGAAATGTAAGATATTTCACCTTCCCACTCGTTTATCACACGTAACTCCATTTGTGTGTTTTATTAACAGTCACACAAAAGCAATGCTTCAGCTTAACTATTAAGAATAATAAATCGAAAGTGCGTGTCGAATGTGCCGGAAGGTTGAGATAGTGGTGTATTGTGGGAGAGACAGAAACCCCAGACTAGAGGCACACAATATGTGTTGGCTCGCAAAAAGGAGGCAGTATCTTTAAAATCATGTAATGTGATCGGCGAAAGGTTCAAGATCTAGCCGTTTTATTTAAAACTACTCGATCGGGCACAATATGTCCAGACCAGGAGAACGAAATAAGCTAAATGAAGATCACGGTAAAAGACAGAGTTCAAGTAAGCTTTCTCTTTTTTTCTTCCTCTGTAATGTCTGTTTCGGGCACAGCTTCAAACCCCCCGTTTTCTGCAACGTACTGTTTGTGTGCAAATATCAATCTTTGCGCTGTCAGGATCATGATGAAGCGTACTTTCTGTTTTTTTTTAATTTTTGTCATCTCTTCGTTAGGTTTGGCGAACGGAATGGAGAACAGCCATCCGATCTGCAATTCGGGAGAGAAACGAAATCATCATTGGAGAAGTTACAAGTTGATTATTGACCCAGCGCTGAAAAAGGGGTCGCACAAACTGTATCGCTACGATGGACTGCACTTCAGCATGCCGGTGAGCGGAACGAGTCGTTACAACGGCCAGAATCGGATACATTGACCCGTGTATTGTCGCGCCGAATGGATACATAATATCACTGGCGTTGTAAACACCTGACACAGTACATCAAAGAGTGCCAAACCGCTGCCAAACTTTCATTACTGACCACTCTTTTTACAAACTAAACCTCTCGTTGTGCTGCTTTAGTTCTGTTGACAGCGACATGGCCAGTTTGAGCGGACGGTGTAAAGTACACTTCCTTGCCTAAAAGTGTTTATAAATGTGTGTTTTTGTTTACAGAACCACGGGATGTCACCCGTGGAGAACGTCCGAGACCCGAGAATGGTTCGTCTGTGGGCTAAGTACAAGGAGGTTGATCTCCCGGTGCCTAAATTTAAGGTAGTTCAGTCACACCCCCTGACACATGTGTGAATTTGTCTTGAGTGTTTTCAAGTAGCCAACTACAAGACGGCTGAGCTTCACAGTACGTTTTATACACCGAATGCATTTTTGAAATTAAAAACAACTGATTTAACGGACACGCGCTTCCTTTTTAACCCGTTTAGGACAGTCGTTCTATGTTTAACAACTTCCATTTCAAAGAATCGTTTTGTTTCCTCAGATCGATGATTGTTACATCGGTCGCGTGCCCCCTAAGGAGGTCACGTTCGCCAAACTCAACGACAACGTCAAAGAGGGATTTCTCACTGACATGTGCAAGAAGTTCGGCGATATTGAGGGCGTGGAGATTTTGTACAACCCGAAGAACAAAAAGCATCTCGGAATAGCTAAAGTTGTGTTCGGAACTGTCAAGTCGGCGAAAGATGCTGTCCAGAACCTGCACAACACTTCTGTCATGGGCAACATCATCCACGTGGAGCTGGACCCTAAAGGTAAAGCTGAATTAAATGTGAAAATATTGAACTGGAGATGTATAACTTTATTCATATCTGACCGAGTTACACTAAAATACCGCGTGTGTTGGTACTTTTGAATAGATTGTTGTTTGTAGCATCATATCACGTGCGAAAATTTACGCTGGTTGCTTGGTAACCACTGCACGGCATGTCAGCTGCAGAGGGATTTACGGATGTGTTTGCTTTGACATTTTACATGAAAACCATGCATTTGAACTATTTACGAAATATTTATCTGTAGTTACAAGCAAAATGACAATTTATTTAACACAGTATAATATGAGAAACAGCCACTGAAGTATTTAGATGTAAAATGCAAATGTTTTAGAAGATAATGTGAGCTGTTTAACCACGACTTAAACAATAGTTGTCCAACTGGAAATATTTTTAATGTTAAACCCTTCGTTCAGACTCATTACTGAAAAGCCAAGCACACTGGATCGTCATTAACCTTGTAAAAATGAGTTTCTTAAGGCAGGATGACAGCTGTAGTGGGTTCTCCGTTCTCTTAAAGAGACAGTACCGTTTCATCTGTGATCATCAGTCACGTGAATACAAAGTGCAGTTGTGTACATACAATATATTGTTTATATACATACTTTATATGTAAGTGATGCGTCTATTTTTAACATAACATTTTATATAACATTTAATTGTTTTAGTAATAACTATTTTCAAGTGAGATTTTCATAGTATGTGGCAATAGCACTTTTCTTGTGAAAGTGACAATTAATAATAATGCTCTTGTGGCAACTCTTTCTTTCTTTCTTTTTTTCTTTCTTTCTTTCTTTCTAATGAATAAAATGTGTATTTCTTTGATGAAGATGTAGCCCACATTGTGTGTCAGTGATCATGTTCACCACAGCAATGTGTTCTCATCCATCATTTTAGGTGAAAATCGCCAAAGGTACTTCCAGCGTCTGATCAATGGAAGTTATACTCCGCTCACTCTTCCAGTTGGTGGTGAAGAAGCCTGTGAAGTTTCTCCACGCAGCTTGTCTGAAGCTCTGCTGGTAAAAAGCAAACATTATCCCATTACATGTGACATTAATTATAGAAAATATTGGAACACTTAAGATTTTACTTCAAAACTAAGTGAAAGACTGTTTAAAATTTTTTTTGTTTTCGGCATGAACAGAGCTGTATAAATGTGCTGTCCTGAAGTGTCCCCCCTTTCAAGTAGCTTTGGCTTTAAAAAAAACAGGTCAAAATCTATTGACTGATTCAATTTACTACAAAAAACAAAACAAAAAAAAATTAACCGCTGTATTTTTTTAACTACAAATGCTTTTATACATACATATATTTCTATATATCATAGTTTAATCCTCCACAGACCAATTGAATGATTTAAAATTTAAAACCATTTAAGATGAAATGTCGATTTTCTCGTCAGTTAGAAGAGAGGAAAGCTTGACATACAAAGTGTTTCCTGTAGTTTTGTGTATTACACCAGCACACTGTATAACATGCTGTGAGTCCCTCTCCAGCAGAAAGTCTTTATCTCTAATCCAGTTTATCAGTTCAGCAGGTGGTTAAATGGACACCAACTGAAATGTACCTAATAACTGCTCCCAGCATAGAGCTGCATGCTATTATTGCACTTTGAATGGTTTCCCCTCAGTTCTGGCCATTATCTCACAGTGAAAACAGAGATTGCCATTAACTAATGTTTAGAAAATATATTTGATTAGCTTGTTAATGTCATTAGTACTGGTCTGTGCTTTTGTTTGCACTGTGAAATTCAGAAACGAACATGTTTAAGTTGGTCCATTCGCACTTTTGTGTTCGCAGGCATGCGAGCCCTCGCGAAGATCCCTTGAAGGCAGTTCTTCTGCAGTTGCGGGCACAGCCACGCCAGGTGGCACTAATACGCCCATGTCCCTGGATACGGCCTACTCCAGCCTAAGGCAGGATACGCCACAGTCCCAGGGTACCCCGCACACCCCACGCCCGTCAGGCACCCCGTTCTCTCAGGACTCCAGCTACTCCAGCAGGCAGGGCACGCCGGCGTTTCAACCGAACCGTGCGGAATCCTCGGGAGGCTACAAGGCGAGGAGACATGAAACCAAATTCCAGGACGCCTACAACCGCAGACCCGAAAGACACTACGTCCATGGCACAGGAGGGACGCACCGTGGCAATGCAGAGCAACCACCTAGTTTTAAGCAACATCAGCCGCCCGAGCCTCCGTCGCCTGTTTTTGCACACACACCACCGCCACCAGCAAGTGCGAATTTCAAAACTGCTTTCTCTCCTTATCAGCCACCAATGCCCCCAGTCTACCCTCACACAGAGCCCTCTTTCCACCAGCCTGTTCAGCGGGAAGTGGATTATAGGAGACCGCCTCAAGCCCCACCTCCCCCGAGCCCCGACTTCATGCCCGTCAGAGACAGGCCTGCGACGCCACCAATCCCCGAGCCTCCCCCTGCGCCAGAAACCCAACCTGCTACACCTCCTCCCTCCACGCCAGAGCCCTGCCCGTCGCTGGGCACCCCCACCCAAGAGTCCAAACGCAACAGCCTGGACTCCCGCATAGAAATGCTCCTTAAGCCCTTCCTCAACGAGCGTGGAGACTCGGACGCTGAGGTGCGAATGGACGGGAGCCCGATCTCATCGTCGTCCTCGCAGCTCTCCCCCATCCCGCCCCAACGGCTCTCGCGGCCTTCAAGCACCGGCCTTGAGGACATCAGCCCTACCCCGCTTCCTGATTCCGATGAGGACGAACCCATCCTTGGTACTGCTGCCCTGTTTACGAACTCTATGGCCATGTCACCCTGCAACATGCTCAGTAAAAGCAGTGCAGGAGAACCACGGACGCCCATAGACAAAATGGACATGGTAAGACCTGAGATGCACGATATACAGATTGTTTCAAAGCAGCTTCACAGTAACAAACAAGAAAATAACCGTATTAATGTTGCAAAATACTTCAGTTATGAAATTTCAGTGCTACAACAGCTAATAAAAAGATAACAGTTTCATTAGTAAACTCAGTGTAGTTCAGTGTTAGTTCATTTTTTCAAAGTTCATTAGTCATGAATAAAATCCAGTTAAACTAAAAAGCAGCTCTACATAATATCATATTGTTATTATTTAGTCAGTTCAGTGAATTTTTGTTCCAACGAGTAGCAACAAAATGTTTTATTTGACATATTTGTAGTAAAATATTAAGTTAAATGCTGCTGTTTAGTGCTGTTTTGACTTTTTTTGTGACAGATTGCTAAATAAATTAGGTAATCTCTTAAATGATATCATTAATTGCTGTGTGGAGGGTTTCAGGACCCAGGAGAAATGTAGGAGGCAACCTCACTCGTCTTCCTTTATAGAGGCTCTCTACTTTCCCTTTTGATTCACATTGTAGAAAGAACAAATTGTGCAATCTGGCTGCAAAAAGTTTTTGTATCCTCTTTTTCTTTTCTTTTTGTTTTGAAATCTCAAAGGCGTAGCATGATTTTTTTTTTTTTTTATCCATTTTGTTTAGATTCCAGTGTGCAATGTTTTATGGTGCTTATTTGAACATTGCAATATTTTGTGGTGCTTATAGTTCTAGGCAAGATACTTCTACACTGTTTGCTTGAGATTTTGCAATTCAACATTTTGTGACATTTCAGCAGCATGCTGAAAAACAGAACATTTTGCCTGGCACAGTTTTAAGTCCTACATGTTAATCTGTACCAAATTATCTTAGCATTGCATTCCATTAAAAAATGGAGAATCTTGGCATCTGCAGTATTAAAGGACATAAATGTTCAGTCCATAATGAGGCTCTGTCTTGTAAATTAACTTGTTTGCATTACAGCCCCCAGCTCTGTATGCCAAACCCATGAAATATGATCCGACTGTGGATGCCGCTTATGTGCAACGCACTTTCACTTCCTCTTACACGTAGTACAACACAAGAAACAATGCTTAGCCGTTAGCATACTTTTGTGCCTTACGTCCTGCTTAAAAGCTGGACCATCAGGATAGTGCTGTTCTTAATACATCTCCAAAACCATTGTTCAGCAAGAGCCATTTCATATCTGAAAGTGTTTGAATTCCTAGATTCAAACTACCTGTAATCATGTGTTTCAGGAGGAGAATATTATTACTATTTCCTGTGTTTTAATTGTTAACTGCAACTATTTAAAAAATTGCTTCCTGTAATTGAAATAAAACTGCAACTAACTGGAATAAATAAGTTGAAGTTGAAGAACCAAAATAAAAATGTATTTAGCTAATTCTAGATACTATTAAATTTTGTAATATTGTAAAAATAATACAAAAATTTACACTGGCTTGTCACTTAAAAGGGTCTGTCCCACTTAAAAATGAAAATTCTCTCAACATTTACTCACCCTCAAGTTGTTCCAAACCTGTATGAATTTCTTTGTTCTGTTCAACACAAAAGAAGATATTTTGAAGAATTTTGAAAATTTGAATTCATAGTTTAGGAACAACTTGAGGAAATGATGACACAATTTTCGTTTTTGGGTGAACTATCACTTTTATTTTTTAATACACACAATATTATGCTCACAAATATTGAGATAGCCTAATTGGACTTTTTTTGTCCAGATCAAGTTAAATTGGGAAGAAAGTAAGAATTCAGGATTTTTTCATAGTTGAACAATAGTTGTCAAACCAAAGGCAATATAGAACATTGATTTTTTATCTCACTGTTTTCTTTGTGCGTGACTAGTTTGTGCGCTAACTCAACAGATGTTTGTGTTCTATTACACAGGGCCATCAGTCATCGGGTGAAGACATGGAGATTTCTGATGATGAGATGCCAGGCACACCGATTGCCAGTGGGGACTGTGCCAAAAATATTGTGGTCAACTCTGCGGTATCTCCGATGCAGACAATTCCCATGCCCCCGCCAGGGTTCCCCCCTCTGCCCCCTCCACAAGCTGGCTTCCCCCTGCCGCTGCCTCCTCTTCCACCTCATTCAACCGTTTCACACCTGGCTGGCCCACCTGGCGTGGCCCCCCATCCGATGCTACACCCATTGGCCCATTACCCCCATGGCATGATGCCCATTATGCAGGTGGACCTGATGAGCTCCTTACCACAGTGGGGCAGTGTTCACATGTCCTTTCAGATGCAGACTCAGATGCTAAGTCGCATGGCGCAGAGCCAACGGCAGTACTCGTATCCTCATTTCATCAGCGAAGCTGCTGTAAGTGCTGGTGCTGCTGCTGCTGCCGCCGCCGCCATGCAATTTGGTGGCACGTATCCACCTCTGTCTATGGTCGGTGCCCCTGCAGGCGCTGTGGGGCATGGGCAACCCTGGCCCCTACCCAACATGCCCAAGTTCAACCCTGCTGTTCCCCCTCCTGGCTATGAGCCCCAAAAGGAAGACCCACACAAAGCCACTGTGGATGGAGTGCTTATGGTTATTGTCAAGGAGCTGAAGGCCATCATGAAAAGAGATCTCAACCGTAAGATGGTGGAGGTGGTGGCCTTCAGGGCGTTTGATGAATGGTGGGACAAACAGGAGCGATCGGCTAAGGTAAGCACCGTTCTACAAACTCAGGTCTGTTTTAAATGTTACATGATACACTTTGCCGGAAATGTAAATACTTTGTACATAAATCATAATAAATGCAGTAAATTTGTTTTTTAAGCTATTGAAGTCATGCAAGGTACAAAATCACTGTCAAGTTGATTAGTAACTTTCATATGTATTGTTTCCTTATATTTGCAGTGTTGGGGAAGAAGTCATTTAGAGTGTTAGATCGTTGTATGTTTAGCCTAAATGTTTTTGAATTGTACTGATATTGCAGAACGAAATGTGACAAACCCGTCTCTGATTGGTATGTCAATAAACAGTATTAATTTGTGTGTGCAGTAGATTAGCTTAGAGTCCAATAAGAATGCTGTCAAAAATGGTCCATTTTGAATATTCTGTGTGTTGACTATAAATAACTTTGCAACTACATGTCAACTGACTCTCATTAGAGTATCAGTAGACTGTCTGCTAAATCTTTATTTTGATTCTCCCGCTTTAGCTTGGTTTGTTTTTCCACTTTAGTTAGTGCTGTTTAAAGTGGGTGGGATTATAGTCTGACGGTTATAGTTTATCCGCTCCTCGGCAACCAACAGTTCGTCCACTGACCACGATTCAGCTATTTATTTTTTGGAAGTTTTCTTTCTTTTTTCTTCAAGCAAGTAGTTTTAAAACAGGTGCTACACCGGTGGCTGTTACTGGCTATTTAAATCTAGCGGGTTTGATGTCTCGCAAATACATTGACACTGGTGGTGACGATTCTGTCTGACTCTGACCAATCAGTGATCTGCTGTGTGTTCACATCACATTTTAGTATCGGTACTGTATGCTTGGAACCACAACAGAGTTGGTACCATTAAAGCGAGCCGAGCCGTACCCTAACGTACCATGCAGTGGAAAGTGCCACAAGTGAGCTGTACCGAGCCGTACCATACCATGCAGTGGAAAAGTTCCATAACAGACATTCAAGTAACTTTGTAACAACTTGTCGACTATTTCTAACCCTAACATGTAGGTGCAACATTACTTATAGTCAACAGAATGTGCTTAAGGGACCATCAAAATAAAGTGAAATCCAAAAATTATATTTAGGGAATTATTTAAACATGTAAATACCGGATTATTGCTTTTCGTTTACTTTGACAAGCAAAAAATAATATTTTTTCTCTAACATCATAATGTTTCTGCACCTGCAGGCTACGCTTACACCTGTGAAGACAGGTGAGGGCAAAGAAGAGGAGAAAGAACGGGCAAAACCCAAAGAGACTATATCCTCTAGCTTACTGGAGAACTGGAACAAGGTTGAGGGTCTGGGCTTTGAGGGAATGGGTCTTAGTATTGGCCTGCGCGGTGCCATCCGGTTACCATCCTTCAAGGTACCAAACTACCATCCTGTATTTTTGTTAGTATGCTGTTGTACTTTTAAGTTGCTCATTATCAATTGCTTCCCTTTTTTTATTTTGCAGGTTAAGAGGAAACAACCCCCTGAGCCGACATCCACCAATGACAGCAAGAGGGTGCGACCATCCACACCTGTCGATGATGAGCTGGTGGATGAAGGTGTGTTCTTGGCATATCTAGTTAATCTAGCAAATTAATTATCCTGAAATGCTTTAAATGGTTCCATGCCATTTCTATAAACTAACTCCGTAAGGTTGGTTCTTAGAGTCAGAAAGAACAGATCTTCGCATGGACGGATCCAGAACGGATGGCAGTGGTTCTTCTGCCAAGCGAAGGCCAGCCAGGCCTCTGGAGCTGGACAGTGAAGGCGAGGAGGAGGAGGAAACCTCCGGTAAAGAGGAGTCATCGCTTTCAGACCATGAAGAGGAGCCAGTGGAAGATGCCTCTGAGAGGTTGCCCTCTGGCAAGGTGAGCACCAATCCACAGTTCTTCGAAATGTGGAAGTAATAGTACTATTTTAACAGTTGATAATCGAGAATTTGACCAAGGTAATTGGCGTCTGTGATTGCTTTCAGTTATGAACCTGTCTTAAACGGGTGTAGTTATCAGGCTGCAGTTATACACTTCCATTTGAGCCTAACATTACAAAAATCCCTTGCCTTCCATAGGATATGGAGGACGAGGAAGATGACGAAAAGAAGAGTGAATCAGACTCCAGCGAGAGTGAATCATCTGACTCATCAGATGAAGGTAATGACTATTAATGGCGAGAGTCTGATTAATATTCTGTACTTGTGGACACTGTAATGGGTCTGAGGTAATGACCGTCACCATTTTTCCTCCCTCAAGCTTCTAGCTCATCATCCTCCAAATCTGATTCTGATTCCTCTGAGAGTGAGAGCTCGTCCGACTATGAATCGAGTTCAGAGGAGGAAGAGGAAGAAGAGGAGGAAGAAGAGCGAGTAGCGGAAATAGAGGATGAAGATGACGACGCACAAACCTCATCATCATCTTCATCTTCCTCATCATCGACCTCTAATGAAGAGGATCTTGATGTAAAATCCCCCATTACCCCAATAGGACCTCCACCAGAAGAAGAACCAAGTGAGTTGAACAGACTGGAGGTTTTAGACAAGGCAGAGCTTGATCACAAACATAGTACGGTGAGCTCAATCAAGCCTGAAATTAATGACGTGCGGCCCCCATCACCCAAAGGATTGCCAGGTCAGACTCTTGACTCTTTTTTTTAGCTATAGCAGTTGAGTATTGTGTGTTTATGAGGTCCGATCATGATTGGTTGTCTCTTTCAGTTGATGAACCCGACATCGATTTGGAGGTCAATATTCCAGTGCCCAAAGCTGAAACCAACCTGGATGATGTCGGTAGCTTGCGCCCACCCACCCCAACAGGTTCGTTTGCAGATAGTGATCAGGACACCAGACCAAAGATCCCTGCAGAAGACGTCCCCAGAACCCCTGGCCGTGATGGCCCAGTTCCCCTAGAGTCAGAGGCCGCAATCCCCCGGTCTCTTCCTACACCTTCCATGCACCTTCCACTTCCCCCCAATCATGCCCTTGAAGCACGATCCCTTCTGCCATCCCGTGAATCTTTGCCGGATATGCTTGTCCGTGGGCGGTTGCCTACGGAAGAGGACATCCCACGCACACCGGGGAGAGACCTCATGGACAGACCCCGGGGTTTGGGCAAGTCTCAGAGCACTGATACGGTTCCTGTCACACCAGGTAGTGACGCTCCACTAACAGGTAACAGCTTGAGCTCGCCGCATATTCCCGGCAGCCCTTTCTCTTACCCTGCTCAATCTCCTGTCCTCAGTGCTGGTATCCCTCGGACTCCAGGTAGAGACCTTACTTTCACCCCAGCTTTCCCTGACTCTGCTGCTTTATCTGCAGGCCTTCCCATTCACAGGAAGGCCTCATCTGAAAGCTTGGAGGAGAAGTCTCTATTTAAAGAGCCTCAACTCAGTGCCTCTCCCCAGGCCAGCCTACCTAACAATAAAGCTTCTTCCCCATTCCCTGGTCCTCCCCTTCCTGCTGCTTCACTTCAGGAGCCTCCCCAAGGCTCCTCTCCCACTTCTGCAGAGACTTCCTCTCCTGCTGCTCCAAAAGATCTACCTGTTCCAATGATAGATGTTCCTGTGCCCTTAGATTCTACTCCAAGCAAGAGAAAACCAGGACGTCCCAAGTCTAAAAAGCTGTCTGTTGAAGCCTCTCAAGACTATGAAGAGCCTCCAGCTCCAATGGTGGCCTCCTTACCTCCAGACCTACCAGAAAATGACATGTACCCAGACTGCCCTTCAGAGACCTTCAAAGGTGAAGATGGTGATTCCACAGCCTTGGAGGAAGAGGAAAACCAAGACCTGACAGTCATACCTCAGGTGGAAGACAGGATGTTTTATGACGAGGAACCTGTTCAGAAGACACGGCGACAGAGACGGGGCTGGCAGGAGTTGTTGTTGTCCATGCATTCCACTGTGACATCACCGCGCCGCCCCAGCTTCTTACCCCGCTCAGAATTTGAGGAGATGACCATCTTGTATGACATCTGGAATGATGGCATTGACGAGGAGGACATGCAATACCTTAAGACCACTTACGACAAGATGCTTGAGCAGGACAATGGCAACGACTGGCTCAACGACACCCTCTGGGTCCATCATCCTCATATCCTTTACTGCTTCAGTGTTAAGGTCACATAGTGAAATTTAGCAGACTAAAAAGCTTCACTGTGTATTTTCAATAGTGTAGAAATGTATGAAGCACAGCTCACACAGAAGTCTCTTTCAAACCAAGCAGCTTTCTGTTGTTCAAAGCAGTGAATTTGCATGACCAACTTGAACCCGTTGCAACCTGTTCCCGTATGGGGAAATCTTTCGGCCTCACACAATATTCCTAATCGTGTAGATTCATATTGAAATTAGGGGTGTAACGGTATATGTATTCGTATTGAACCGTTTCGGTTCGAGGCTTCCGGTTCGGTACGCATACAAACCGAACGATTGCTTGGACCATTTTTCTTGCCGGCAAAATTCGTGCTGACGCGGCCAACACAACGTTGCGCAACATCCAAATGGCAAGCGTAATGAAAGCAGAACGAAAATGCGCTCCTCGTTATGTGCTTCACGGCTCGTTTATCAGTTCGGACCAGCAACATCTGTGCAGCGCGAGCCGATCTCGATCAAGCAACACTGTTACCACACTGCGCTAAGAGATCCGGTAAAGAAAACATTTGAATTCGCCACTGAGGTAATAACATCGCTGCGAGATCTAGTGAGATGCATTCACATTTCTACGTTATTAACCGTAGATCTCTATTAGATCAAACAGCGCTGTCATGGAAACCAGGAGAAACATTGTGCCGTGAATGAACTAGTACTTTACGTCCACAGACCAGCAACATTCACCATGGATTTAATATAGTAACACTAACTGGAACCAGTTTGGCTGGAATGGTGAAATGCTTTCAAGTACTTCACACATCTTTTTCCAGCACTTCAAAATTCAAATATTATATAAATAAATATATATTTAAATGTTATTTTTAATGTGATGACCAAAACATTATTTGTTCATCCTTCAAAGATGACCCCTATTTATAAACCTGAAAGTTTCAAGATCTAGTAAAACTCACACTTATTTAAAAATATTTTTTCTTTAAACAAATAGGAAATTTCTCTGGCATTTCTTTCTTTTTGCTGTATCGAAAACGTACCGAACCGTGACTTTAAAACCGAGGTACGTACCGAACCGTGATTTTTGTGTACCGTTACACCCCTAATTGAAATTACTGGATGTCGTCCACAAACAGCCACTGAACAGTGGTAAACCTTTACCATGATCTTGAGCTTTAAACTGTGTTTATTAATACCTCACAGACTCTTTGAAAAAAGCGATTAATAAACAAAACTGCATGCTTCTTGCAGAAGAACATTGTATCTGGAGCAATTTCTCTCTGTTTATGTCTATGACGAGTCACGCAGGTACTGGGCTACTCAGCAGCGGTGGCGACCTGACGGGTCTAATATACTGAGAATATAAGCACTTATCATAGGTGTACTGTGGCGATTCAGGATAAGACAAAATAACACGGTTTGGAAAATGGAAATAGCATAAAAAATGGAAATCCGAAATAGCACCGCGGGTTTTTTTTTTTTGTTTTTGTTTTTTTGTGTGAATAGCTTACTTAGACAGTATTCTAATAACAAAATCATTACATATACTTTAATGTTATTTCCAAACCTGTTATATGGACACCTATCTGTTCCTGTGAAGAAAGCATTTCCTTGACTCCTCTGAACCTACCAACATGGGCAGTGCAACTGTGGTGAAGAAGAAGCGAAAAGAGGATGGTATACGGGACCATGTCACCGGCTGTGCCCGCAGCGAGGGCTACTACAAAATCGACAAGAAAGACAAAATGAAGTACCTGAACAGCTCACGCCTGCAGTCCGAAGAGTCTGATGTGGACACTCAGGTAGGTGGCAGGGATAAAATACTGAAGTTTACTCCCAATCAATCAATACGTCATTAAACTGGTTTGCCGAAGGCACTGACATGATTGTTTTTGTGTGTGATTTCAGGGGAAGAGTATTCCAGCACAGCCCCTAACGTCCACTAGGGCAGGTTCAGAACGGCGGTCTGAACAGCGCCGTCTGCTGTCGTCCTTCAGCTGTGACAGTGACCTCCTCAAATTTAACCAGCTTAAGGTAGGACAAGTGAAAACCGTCTTATATCTTTCAAAACGTCACCACTCAAAATATTAGCTAAGGCAACATCTAATGACGCCCAACTTTTGCACAGTTCCGTAAAAAGAAGATCCGGTTCTGTAGAAGTCACATTCACGACTGGGGATTGTTCGCCATGGAACCTATTGCTGCGGATGAGATGGTTATCGAATATGTTGGCCAGAATATCCGACAGGTAAGTGGAAAACCAACCAAACTTTTAGCATCACTGCTTTTTGTGTGGTCTGTTCATAACCGTCTCGTCCCCATTTGCAGGTTATAGCAGACATGCGAGAGAAGCGCTATGAGGAAGAGGGCATCGGCAGTAGCTACATGTTCCGTGTGGATCACGATACCATTATAGACGCAACCAAATGTGGCAACTTCGCCCGCTTCATCAATCATAGTTGCAATGTGAGTTATGTACATGTTAAAAAAAAATTAAATCAATGGTTAATTTCGTTGGTAAAAACCTAATTGACCGTGTCCTCCTTTGTGTCTCCCAGCCAAACTGTTATGCCAAGGTCATCACTGTGGAATCACAGAAAAAGATCGTCATCTACTCCCGGCAGCCAATAAATGTTAACGAGGAGATCACCTACGACTACAAGTTCCCCATTGAGGACGAGAAGATCCCGTGCCTCTGTGGCGCAGAGAACTGCAGAGGAACCTTAAACTAACCCCAGCAGAATGGTGAGAACTTTCTTAAAAACATGCACTGCCCTACAACAAGCCCAGACGCCCCGTCTTCTGGAGCTACAGAGGAAATAGTGGGTGAAATCCAACACATCCACTGGATATATCGTGCAGCTAAGTATCTGGGACTACTTTTTTGTACTTTTTCAAGATTGTTTACGAATTACAGGTGCTCTTTCAAGCATAAAAAAATCAATTTTCTACCACTCTTCCATTGATTCTATGGAAATGGACATGTTTTCCCCCCAAATGTTTGGGCACCAAGTTTGTTGTCTGCCCATTTGGCACGTCCTCGTCAGTCCCTTTTTCCCCTGCGGTTTGGTTTGGAGAGACCTCCCCCGTCCCTTGAACTCTGAGCCCGCTTAATATCTGTCCCACACGCACAAAATTCTTCTGTCAGTTTTTTTTTTTTTTTTAACCATGTCCTCGTCCTCCAAGCCCAACAAGACTCATTCAGTATGAAGTTTAGCGTATTGTCAGACTTCACTTCAACAGCCCAGAAGATTTAGCTTTCAGCATGACACTAACCAATGCCAGGGGTGTTGGGTCAATTGTCTTCAATTTGCAGAACATTCAACAAAAGCACACCTGTGCCGGCCAATAAGCAAATCAGTAGAATAAGAGACACAGCACAGGCAAATTTACACAAAGTGAAACGCTCCTACAATATTTCAGCCAGCGCTGCGTAGGGCACCTACAGACTGGATCTGGATCCGACTGGACGCATCAAACAATACACTACACCTAATTCTTTCATTTATTCAAGTCCTTTTTTTCTACAACCAGATATTTGTAATATGCTCATTTGAGTGTGTCTGCTGCCCCCTATCTTCTGTAAGGTGTAAGGGCAGAACGCTGCTCAGTATTAACTCGGCATTTGACATGTCAGCTCACTACTTTAGCAGATAAACATGCAGAGATCCAATTGGTTTCATGCATTTTCAGGCATTGGTGCAGAATTTTCTATTGTGGAGCGAATCTCGTCAATATAATGCTGCTATTCTGCAAACATATATCCCTACTTTTCTCCACCAGTTCACTTTTAGATGGCAAAATCCACCTGCACTGGTTTTAGGTCAGTTAGCATGGGTTTTCGTAGTATTAGGAGTTCTCTGTGAGTGCGGTAACAGCCGCACAGCACTGATGCTTTTCAACAAGATTGGCCAGACACCAGTTCATCTAAACTAAGTAGTTGCACTGTTGTTTAGGATGGCACACCCTGGAGTATTCGGTCCGTCACCGTAAAAAAACGTCTGCAGTGGACACGGAAAGTCGAATACAGTGCCAAATGTGTACATTAGAGTGTCTCGGCTTCAAAGGCAAACCGTTTTCCTCTTGTCTCCTGTGTGTATGTGTGTGATCGCACAGATGACCTAAGCTCACTGGTACTTCGGGCGAACCTTTTGAGTTCCTTCTGCATTTTTCTCAGTATTTAACCATTGTGTTTAAACGGCTATTACAGCTTCATTCAGCCAAATGTCCCTTTGAAAGCAGAAGACTCTGATCTGCAAGGCAGCTTGGAGACTGTTTATCTTTGTGATTTTGGTTATTTTAATAAATGCACTAGAGGCTTCCAACCCCCATCAAGCCAAATGGCACTCACAAAGACCATGCTTTGAAACGCGCCCTTCACGTTAGATCACTCACAGGGTAAGGTCTCCCAGCTTTTTTGTTAGTTTTCTTTTTAAATATGTTTATATTGTACAGGATTTGATGGTTTGTATAAAGGAATGGGGCCTTTTTATCTCGATTGGGAGTGATGCATCGTTCTGCTTTTATGAGCGACAAATGGAGTATTTAAAATGACTATTTTTCAGGGATCATTATAAAAAAAGGGGTTGAATAGCTAATTTAAAGAAAATGATGCATCTTGTACATAACACAGATTTGTACTTCCTTTTGAAAGATTGTTTCTTGTAGAAACGTCTTTTTTCTGCCCATTTTCCTTTGGATTCTTATGTGTAAATACTTTAACTGTGAATATATAAATATAAATATATATATATATATTTTTGTTCCTGAGGATTTGCTACAGTGTCACGGCTCGGAAAGGTCTATTTGACGGTGATTGCGGAGAGCTGGTGGCAGTATTTTCAGCTTGTGTCAAGCTTTAATTTTTATTTTTGGTTGTAAATTCTATGAAAATCTGTTTGCAGTGTGGGGGGAAAGCATTATCATTCAGATATGATGGCAAGGGGCATTGGTGAAATTGGCCTTTATCCCCTGTCTATTTATTATACCACAAATGTATGGAAAAAAGATCATGGAAAAAATAAAGAATTTTTTTTCAGCTGCCTTGTCTTGTTATTCATCCTTGAACGATGTGTCACTTTAATATAATGTTGGATGTTTGTGTAGAGAGTTAGCAGGAACAGAGTCTCAAATCTGAGTTTAATTAGATTTAATAACTTCCCATGTTTCTGTCTGTATAGGAGGTCTCAGCACACACTGGTCTCACCATCTGCCCTTCATATTGCCTGGCATCATAGCTCTATTCATAGGTTCTACCCTTTATAAAAACCATAAAGTCATTTAAAATGATTCGAGCTTGTGTTTTTGTATTCTATTTAGTTTCTACCCCCAACAATACATTTTTAAAAAATATTGTTACTGTTAAATACATCTGTGCTATACAGCAGTGTAGTTTACATTTAAAAAAAACAAGGATGTGCAGAAAAGAATAATTTTTCAATAACATTCAAGTCACAGTTAAACTATATCGATAGGCCTAATTATATAGCAATTTCTAGTGCAATAATTTATAAGCTAGTAATGGTTGATGAGGTCCACTTCACAAGCTCAGACTGAAATAGTGACTGTTTTGTACTGTCAGTGAACACTAAGGAGTGACCTCACTGGGCAGATTAGCAATAGTAACCTCGAAAGAGACAGAAACAAGGGCTCTTTGTGTGAGTGAGCAGTGCCCCCAGTATCAGTAACAGGACGAGAAGGGTATGACCACCACAACAAAAACACGCTTGTGAGCCAGTCAAAATAGACAAACCACACTAACACTGTCATTTTCATTTCAACACTTTATTGTTTGCAAAAGAACACTTTGGACTTGAGTCAAACTATCGCTAACTCTGCTATTTTATACACCACATAGTTTGCCTCCTGAGGTAAGTTTGTATTTTTCACAGAATGATAAAATAAATGATAACAATCATTCAAGTTTGGTGAATACACCTTTATGAGTCCACAAGCTCCACTTATAGTTAGTGAACTTGACGCCTATGCAGTGAACTTTAAGGTGTTATTTGAAATCCTGCGAAGTGCCCTTTGTGAATGACTGGGGAAATTCTCCCATTGAAAAGGCTTTGAGTGATCAAGTTCAGTAAGAAGCGAAGGGAAATACGTACATGGTAATACTGATCAAAAATAACCAGGATAACTTATACAGATGTGTGACCAAACTACAATTTGATTTTATGCAGAAGTAATTCGCACAATTGTACTTGACAAATTACAGTGAATATTATCATATAAGGCCCGTTCACACCAAGAACGATAATAAATATATCCTTTAATAATTGTTTTAAGTCGGGAATAGGGATTTCCACATCACAGCTATAACCAGTGTTGGGGAACAACTGTAGTCTAGAACTATAATAACCAACATGTTCACACAGCGCACACAAAACACCTCCGCACTCTTGATTTCTCTCAACATGAGGACAGGAGTGCTTTCATCAATAAATGGGAATTTATTTATTGTTATTTTCAAAAAAAAAAAAAAAACCTAATATTTTGTTGTAAATTTAAAAGTAATGTGTTACTTTACTCGATACTTGAAAAAAGTAATCTTACGTAACTCAAGTTACTTGTAATGTGTTACTCCCAACACTGGCTATAACCATGGCAACAAGGAAACTATGTTATTGGGATCACTTTCATGATTTTGTCCAGCTGATAAGCAAAAAGATTGACAGCCAAATCTTTTTATTTAATCAAAATTTAAATAGCTTGGGCAGTTGTTTTGGTACAGTATTATGTGTCATGAATAGTCCAAGACAAGTATGTTTAATGCTGCCGTTTTGCTATAAGCAAAATGCTAAATATTTAAAAATTAAAAGGAGTAAAAGAACATTTAATCCATTAAAAATGGCAAGAGAGGACACTCCATTGGAGAGCAGCTTGGCGTCTTTGGAAGCGTACACGGGCCGTCCGTAGGTTGGGTGGATGTGTCTGTAGTTGTCATGCAGGAGAACCTGGTCAACAGCTTCTTCCACCGTGGAATATATCCCGCTTACAAACTGCTCAAACTGACGAAAGAAATCACTTGAACGGTATCTCATGCTATTACTTGAACTTTAAAAAGTGACTAAATCATTCAAATAAATTGAAACATTGATGAGCTTAGCAATGAACACGTTGACACTTTAAAGGGATAGTTCACCCCAAATTTTTAATTCTGTCATTATTTACTCACCCTCATGTAGTACCAAACCCGTAAGACCTTCGTTCATCTTCAGTACACAAAGGAAGATATTTTTGATTGAATCAGAGAGCTTTCTGACCACTTTCAAGGCCCAGAAAAGTAGTAAAGACGTCATAGTTAAAACAGTTGTTCAACATTAATGTTATGAGACTATAAGTAATGACTTTAAATATGTGAGCACCATGACACATGTGTGACGTAGAACCAGGAAGCACTGCACTGTTTACAACATGAACAGAGAGGCAACAGTAAATTTGGACAAACTGCTCAATTCATATGGATTAGTTTTACAATTTTACAATGTCTTTATGAAACTTTTTAATTGTCAGTTGCGTATCTATCAATGGAGGGACAGAAAGATCTTAGATTTTATCAAAAAGATCTTCATTTGTGTTCCGAAGATGAACGAAAGTCTTACTGGTTTGGTATGACATGAGGGTGAATAATTAATGACAACATTTTAATTTATTCTTCATTTATAATTATTGCTTTAACTTGTTCAGCAAAATTCTGTTTTCTGTTCTGCGTTATAACACCCTTGTGGCAAGACTGAAAATGCAAGCCAATCATTATGAAGTGTAAATAATATAGAAGCATTTTTGTTTCTATATTTGCCTAGATTTAATTACTTTAGTAATGTCTTACCTGAGCCCATGAGATATAGACAGGCACTTCATACACGGTCCACAACACCACCTGTGAACAGGGCGGCGTTGTAAGACTGCCATGATAACGGTAATACTGCGTTAGGTTGTTCTGAGGTAGCAGATTTACCAAAGGAAATGGTCTTATCGATTTTGTTTGTCCTAGAAAGAAAATGAAAATATTTAAATATTAGGCAAATAGCCTACTCAAATATACACTGAACAAAATTATATACGCAACACTTTTGTTTTTTTTAGGCAAGTCATGCCACTCGGCCGCCATCTTGGCAACGCCTCCGGGCAGCTATTTCGGACTAACAAGACCAGGCTCCTATCTAAATTAATGGGCAGAGACTCAGAACTGTACTTTCACTGGTCACTGGGACATAAAAACTGCATGTATACAAACAGTAATAAAATATGATAAAAATCGCTGAAAAACTTTGCCCCAAAATAAGGTTTAAAACACCTTTTCCCCCACGTTATACTTTTACTGCGCATTGACCGGAAGTTGAAGCCTCGCGGGAGCTGCCATCTTGTAGCAGAACTTCACTTGCGTTAGCATTTCCATTGACTCCCATTCATTTTGGCGTCACTTTGACAGCGAATAACTTTATATCTGAGGTGTTTGAAGACCCCATTTGTCCATTATTTTTTTCTAAAGAAACACGACAATGTATAAAATGCTTCTTTACCTTAGCTTATGTTACGGCCCCGTAGAAGCAGTTTTTTGTAAAACTAGGCTAACGATTGCGTCATAACCACGCGACTCTCTGTCGCACAGTAGAGAGATTACCGTATGGACAGGAGGAGAAGCTCGCGGTTAATCTGGGAAACGTGGAGGCAAAATGACAAAATAATTAATCAGAATACATAGCAAACGTTTCTCTTGCTCCTAGCTCATGGACAGCTCCTACTCACACTCTCCGCCTCTGCAAGTTTCGGAAGGGAATGATTCAGATTTCTCATGCCAGATGGGTTGCTCACGTCACATCTACGTCGTCAAGCTCTGTTTGAGTCGGTTTGAGTCTGCGCGTCAGGAACGAAAGTACTAAAAAAATCACTAAAAATGGGCTTCACTTGTCTCAATGGAGTTCCAATGAGATGGCTCTGTCCACTTCTTATACTGTCTATGACTACTGCTCGCTCTAGATTCCGGGAGATTTGAACTAATTTGCGGTCATCAGGGAGCCGCTATCAATCTGTGGGAGACTCCCGGGAGACTTGGGTTGTCTGATATTTACTCAACTAACACATATCAAATCTGCCGCCTTTTCAAACAGTAACATATTTATACGCGTCGGTGGAACCAGACGATAGGCTTAAATGTTTCCCGGCTTGACTGTTAAAAGCAGACGATTGGCTTTCCAGCAGGAGGAGCGGGGCAACCGCCATTTTTGGTGTTAGGGGTTTTCCTACATAGTTGCATTAAGGATTGAGGTGGCATGTCTCTATATAAATAGTCTCTGGCTGAACTCAAAGATCTAAGACTTTTTCTATGTACACAAAAAGCCTATATATTTCTCTCAAATATTGTTCACACACCTGTTGTCACCTCACAGGTGCGGCATATCAAGATGCTGATTAGACAGCATGATTATTGCACAGGTGTGCCTTAGGCTATATTAAAAGGCCATTCTAAAATGTGCAGAAATTCTTTGGTTATGCAAACCGATTGTTGCATCAGCTGTCTGGGCGGCTGGTCTCAGACAATCTTTGAGGTGAAGAGGCTGGATGTGGAGGTCCTGGGCTGGTGTGGTTACATGTGGTCTGCGGTTGTGAGGCCGTTTGGATGTACTGCTAAATTCTCTGAATCACCTTTGGAGACGGCTGATGGTAGAGAAATGAACATTCAATACATGGGCAACAGCTCTGGTGGACATTCAGTCAGCAATAAATGTGTTAGGGATGCTCTAGTCGGTGTTTACGACGTTCTAGGCCCTGCCAATATCCAGCAACTTCGCACAGCCATGGAAAAGGAGTGGACCAACATTACACAGGCCACAATCAACAACCTTTTTTCCCCTTTTTTCAGACACAGTAAAACTGCACATTTTAGTAGACAGATTTGTGAACAATATTTGAGAGAAATAGGCCCTTTGTGTACATAGAAAAAGTCTTAGATCTTTGAGTTCAGCTCATGGAAAATGGGGGCAAAAACAAATGTGTTGCGTTTATAATTTTGTTTAGTGTATATAGCCTATATT